TGATCTAAAGTTATAAAATCTAAAGCACAATTTAAATGATTAAACGCTAAAGGTTCAAAGGGGGGAAGAGCTTAATAATGTCTTTGTAATGTGAATGGTAAAGACACCAATTATTGACTAGATGCAGCCGACTGAATGGACAGCCATGTTTAAAGTGAAGGTAACTATAAAGCCGGGAAGCGTCTCTGGTGAGTCAGAGAATTCGTAACTTGAGGAACTCCTAGTGGAAATGAAGTGGAAAGACAGTTTCTTTCATCAATGAGAAAACGTCTAGGAGAAGAGGTTTAACAAAACTCACCAGAGAAACTCACTGATAATGATTCACAAATTAAATCAGTTTACGTCATACATTATGCCCCTCTGTATTACGTTAACCAACAAGCATACCAATCAACATGGAAAATACCGCTTTAACTTGCCTCAATTTCGTAAACGCCCGCCCCCGCTCCCACTGCCGCTTTGTAAATTCTCTAGACCCGGAGCGTCTCGCTTCCTCACAGTCCATTCCCCAGCCTCACTCTTCCTGGCTCTTAGCTGGCGCTCAACAAATCTTAGGTGAACTGAACAGAGCTGACAAGGCAATCTCAAGTTGCTGTCCTGGGAGTGGTGAGGCAAGGCACAGGAGAAAGGACTTCTAGTTCTTCCCACTGCCAGTGGAGCCCCCAGCATCACTTTCGGCCCCTTCGTGCCTGGGACCGTGATTTGTGGGTGACCAAGTCCCTCGCAAGCCTGCAGTACTTCCGCTGGTGCAGTCATCTCCTTCCCCTCGCACTAAAACAATACCCTGGCCTCCTGCCAAACTCGTGAGCAGCGAGCAACTCTGGCTGTTTATGGCCCGGATTGGGTACTGCAAGAGGCTTGGGCCGCTGTAAGTGTTAGCAGAGGCCCGGAGGAAGAGAAGAGGCCCAAGCTTTAAAACACTCCCTTCCTCCGCCCCCTCCCTTTTGTCCCAGACACCAAAACAAACGAGCTGATACACGTGTCCCTATGACTCTTGTTTACTATCAAGACTGCGCTGTGCGAGCGCCTCTGGGATATGTAGTTCAGCTCTTCCCCGGCTAGCAGCCTCCCCCAGCCAAGGACCAAGGCTTGAGACTACGAACCCACAATCCATTTCGGGGACAAAGTTTGGCTCGGGTCCCCGGACTCTCGGCAGTAGTCCAATCCAAAGCACTTACTCTTGTGATTGACACACCATCTTCTCCAGTAAACACAACACAAAAGTCAACACATGCCCGCCCCCCGAGACGGACCACGGTACTACCCAATGGGAAAGGGGAACAACCGAATGGCAGTTCTGCAGTCCAATAAGAGGGCGAAAGAGCTGGGCGGGTGCTCAACCCCTAGGGGGTTGAGGGGAGGGGGAAGACGAAGCTTGAAAGACTTGGTAATGGCGACGGGTTTGGTAAGTAGGAAAGTTTCGGTTGAGGAGTAAGAGCGGCGGCGGGAGCAGTAACCCGCGCGGGGGAGGCCGACGTCGGTCGGAGAGGGGGTACGAGAGCTGCTGGTGGTGTTGTCGTGGCCGGGGCGGCCCGCGCCTGGGCTGCCGGCACTTCGCGGCAGGTTTGTTGTCTTTTAGTTCGGGAAGAGGTGGGGGTGGGGAAGGGAGGGGCAGGAGCGCGGGGGATCGGGCAGCCGGAAGGGCTCGGGTCCTCGTTCCTCCTCCTCGGAGGGTCGCCCTTGGAGTGGGGGCAGTTAACCGTTCGATTGGTGTCCGCGGCGAGCCCACCGGACCAGCGTCTCCCGCGAGCTCACCTCACCTGGGCTTCGGGACTGCGGCGCTAGGGGGTCTCGGGCGGGAGCGGGGAGGAGGCAGCGGGAGGGCTACGTTCGGGGTCGGGTCGCGCGGTGGGTGGCCGGGCCGGGTGTGGAGATGGGGCGGGCCAGGGCGGGGGAAGGGGCCGACGCGGCGCCCGGGCTGCCCAGGAAAGTTTGACTTCAACTCCCCGCTTGTGGGCGGAGGGTCGGAGCTTGGCCAGTGGTGGGGGGCCGGCCTGAGGTGGGGGACCCCAGTGAGGCGACGCCTCCTTCTGGACCGAAGGGGGCTCCTGCCGAGCCGGGGAGCTCGCGGAGCCGCTGGGCCCCGGGGCTCATTGTTACGCAGTTCGAATGAATGGGCTCCCAGGCGCCTGCGCGCTGGGGCAGAGCCGAGGGGAAAAACAAGCCCGGAGTCCGGGCTGCGGTCACATGATGGGGGGAAGGGAGGGGAACGCGATGAATGGCGAAAGAGGGTGGGGGATGGACTTGGCGTGAACCGAGAGGCGCTGCTCTGTGTGACCCAAAGAGGAGGCTTGGCAGGCGATTCCAGCCTCCGCCTTTCAACCTATGCTGCCGCCGCAGGCTGATTGAAACAAAACAAAACAAGCCAGGCGAAGTCAACAGCCAGGTTTTTGTAGCTTTAAATGCTGCGTGCTGTCTAGAGTATTTCACTCTCCGCTGTGCACTCTGCACTCCAGAGTTCATACTTAGGGAGTTACCAGCTGCTGTCGTTTTTAGAAGGAGCACTGACAGCGAGGTAATACTCAAGTTTTCTGTTTGTTCTGTTTCTGGCTCACGTTGCCAGTGATGCCAGGACGAGAGGAGGCTTAGAAAAGGAGTTATACATCCTGGGAAGCGATGGAGTCCTACTAACAGCTCGGATGGAGGCTTTAGATTTATCACTCTAAATAGCCATAACCACTCGTAATAGTGGTTTTGAAATTAAAGGTACTTTTTGAGAATTAAAATAATTTTAACATTTGCAAATACTTTTCTGGTCATTTAACAGTGATCTAAATCTGCAATGTATGTCTTGTAGTTTTTTTTTGTTGTTATTTTATCTTGCAAATGAATGGTAGAGTCGGTCTTCTGTTCCGTTTCCTTGGTTAAACTCAGTTATTGCTAGGTAGACAGTAGTTGACAAAGTTTCAAGGAAATTTGAATTACACTGAGAATTAAATCTACTCCTTAAAGTTTTTGGGTTATGTTATACTTTTGAGGAACCATTTAACCACTTTAAAACAAAATATTGTTTGTGCTAACTCGACGGATAAATTATAGAGTGAAGTTTTGATTTCACTTTCTAGTTTCATCTTAGTTTCGTAAACCCACTTAGGTTTTCTGTCTCGAAAACCTTTCCTCTTTCTTCTGAAACTCCTAACTACATACCCTAGTTAAAAGGGTACATTCTTCCAGGATTGCCTACCTACATGTCTCTGCTATCCTGTGTGTTTCACAGGGCATACCTGTCAGACTTCAAATATGATACTGTCACTGTAAGAGTTGTTTCTTTCACTATATATATGTGTATATATAAGAAATATATAATATATACATATATTTTATATATATATATATTTTTTTTTTTTTTTTGAGAGGGAGTCTTTGTCGCCAGGCTGGAGTGCAGGGGTGCGATCTCAGCTCACTGCAACCTCTGCCTCCTGGGTTCAGGCGGTTCTCTTGCCTCAGCCTTGGGTCTACAGGTGCGCGCCACCACGCCCAACTAATTTTTTTGTATTTTTAATAGAGACGGGGTTTCACCACGTTGGGCAGGGTGGTCTCAGTCTCCTGACCTCGTGATCTGCCCGCCTCGGCCTCCCAAATTGCTCGGATTACAGGTGTGAGCCACCGCGCCCGGCCCATTATATTTTAACTTCCTTGGATTCTTTCCTCACTAATCGAAATGCCCAGTGAAGAAGGCATGCGGCATGATGGCATGGACTTACTAAACTGCTCTGCGCTGAAGGTTCTTCCTGGTGAATTGCAAGCTGGTGTTTTGTATATGTGTTTGAAATAAAAATACTGGTACTCCCCTCTCCACCCCCACGCATACATTATTCGTTAGAAGTTACTGTCCTGGCGCGGTGTCTCACGCCTTTCCCAGCGCTTTGAAAGGCTGAGACAAGAGAATCGCTTGAACCCGGGAGTCAGAGGTTACAGTGAGACAAGATCAGGCCATTGTACTCCAGCCTGGGCATCAGAACAAGACTTACTCTCAAAAAAAAAAAAAAAAAAAAAAGTCAATGCCAGGAATTTTATGTCTGTTAAGTATGAAACTGAGTATTTACTTGGAATAGAAAAATGAATCACAATGAATTAAAAAAAGCTGGCCGGGCGCGGTGGCTCAAGCCTGTAATCCCAGCACTTCGGGAGGCCGAGACGGGCGGATCACGAGGTCAGGAGATCGAGACCATCCTGGCTAACACGGTGAAACGCCGTCTCTACTAAAACATACAAAAAACTAGCTGGGCGAGGTGGCGGGCGCCTGTAGTCCCAGCTACCTGGGAGGCTGAGGCAGGAGAATGGCGTGAACCTGGGAGGCGGAGCTTGCAGTGAGCTGAGATCCGGCCACTGCACTCTAGCCTGGTTGACAAAGCGAGACTCCGTCTCAAAAAAAAAAAAAAAAAACTGTCAGATACCTGCTTACACAAAATTCAGGGAAAAATGGCATACTCTAATATTCTTATTAACTGCCTGATGTCAGTAACATTCACATTTTTCATATACTGATCAGCATTTACTTTGGTGCTTCATAATTTCTACTATCATTTTCTATAGAGAAACTAGAAAAATAATTTTCTCCGTAATGTGGTTCATTGAGTTTTTAAAAGTTATTAAACAGCTTAAAAAAGCCTTTTCCACAAGTTTTTATAGATAATGTAAAAATGTTTAGGAGTACAATCAAGTTTAGGAAAACAAGTTTCATAAGAACTTCTAGATGATGTCAAGTTTTATTATATGACTCATCTTAAATACTTATTTGAATTGACAGTACTCCTAAAACAGTTCGTGGATGACTGCTTGTGCTCTTAATGGGTTTTCTATTGTCTTGATCAATATAGCATTTCATGTTGAATGAGCATGAAATTACTAAGAATTTGTATAGATGTGGATTGGGCAGTGTCTGTGGGATGTAGTATCTTTTATACCTACAATTCTGATAGGTAGATAGGTACTAGTCCCATTTTTTTTGTTTTTACTTATTTTTAATAACTTTTTAGAGATGGGGTCTTGCTGTGTTGCCCAGGTTAGTCTTGAACTCCGGGCTCAAGTGATCTTCCTGTCTCAGCCTCCCAAAGTGCTGGCATTGCAGGCCTGAGCCATTGAGCCTGGCCATTAGTCTTATTTACGAATAAAAAAACGGGTCCAAAAAAGAAAACAGGCCTAGAGATTTAATTGTTGAGGGCCATGAAAGTGTTAAGTGACCAAAACTAATCCACTAAGGGTTTTTGTTGTTTTGTCTTTTTTCTTAGCTCAGTGGCAAACTAGAGTTGTAGACAAATATCTGTGAAATCTTTGGTTTGAAGTTTTGTTGAAAATACTTTAAAAGAATAGCATTAAGGCCTCTGAGATGCTTTTGGTATAGAAAGTTGCATTTAATATACTTTGTTATGGAGGGTTGTTTTAGCGTGTAATTATGTAATCCATTTAAAATACCTCAGTTTCAGAGATAGAAATTAATTGCAAATTACCTTTTCTTCACCCACTGTTTGAGAACAATTTGAGCATACAGTCTGGACTGGGTATGGAAATCCTTCAGGATTAGGGGAGAGCATATAGAAGATCCTGCTGTGAATTCCATAATGATGATGGAAAGGTAAGGATTCAGGGAATAATAGCCACTTGAAAGCAGGAAGTAACCCATGCTGGCCTATACCTTTTGTCTTTTTTTCCTTTCAGCTCTCTCCTTCAAAAAGAAAATGGTCCCATTTAGTCATCATAGTCCTGTTTTCTTCATCCATAATAACACTTTATTCACAGAGTTGTTGTGAGTTTAAAATAAAATTAGATGAAGTACATGGAAGTGCTGTGTAGGTAGGCATTTTGTAAAACCTAGTTTCCTTCTTCATTCATTGAGACTTAGCTTTTTCTAGTTCTCTCTTTCTCTCTTGTCTTAAGATTTTGTGGATATTTGCTTCTGGAAGTTTGCATACCAAAAGCACTGGGGCCTTCCAAGAAAGTAAAATTTGTAATACTGAACATGACATTTCAGAGTACAACTTCTGGAAAATTTTACTGAGAATCACTGATGTAGTGAAGGGATGACATGTGCAGAGTTAACTAAACTACAAGGCAAGCTGTGTTGAATCTGATACCAAAGCAGTATACAAAAGCATGAATGAACAATAGGGTTAGCTCTACCAGGAGATATTTGAAAGAGGAGCTTGTTTATCAAAATGAGTATGTAATTGGTATAATGTATGTAGGGGAGTAAAAAATGTAAGGACTTTTCTGGTATTCCTTTACTGTATTGGAGACCTTGCTTTCTTTCTCCAAAATAGTTGAGAATAGACAGAAGAGACAGAAAACTTCCATTTGTATATGGTTTTGAATTTTGTTTTCATGTATTGAATTCTCAGAATAGCCCTGTGAGGTAAGTAGAGGGACTGTAAGTCTGAGATTGAGTGACCTGTCCCCGGTTACACAGCTAGTAAGAATGAAACCGAAGTCTGTTGTCTTGAAATGTAGCGTCTGTGTGGTACTTTTACAGTAGCAGAACTTCAGTTTTCTCAGGACCAAACTTCTGACAGCCTTGAGCAATGAGAGGTGTGAACACGTAGAACTTATATTCAGTAAATATTTATTTGGTTCCATTGGTTATTTATAGGTAGCTCTGTTTTGAAATTAAAATAATGTTTTTTTCCAACTTCATTTAAGGAGTTTTGGGATGGTGGTTGATAACTAAGACAAAGTGCTGAAGAAATGATAGAAGTTGCAAAGAGACATTAGTGTACTATACTTGGTGAATGTTGGAAACTGCAGGACCTGCTGTAGGGAAGAAAAATGTTCTAGTTGGGAAGAATGAGGAAACCAAAGAGCTCTGCAGAGGGAGGGGGAAAACAAGACAGACTGCAGCTGTGCTTCTGCGGACCCCAAGAACGGCACTGTTCGTGCACAAAGGATAGCTCTGAAGAGAGAGAAATGTGTAGTGCAACTTCTGAATTTCATAATAAAGGTAAAAGTAGGAAATGTTTTAAGTTCAGATAGGGTTGACTACGTAGCTCACATCTGTATGTGAAGCATCGTACAGATATTCATAAGGATTTTTAGTTATCAAAATAGGTTAAATTATATTCTGTATACTTAAGATGGCAGAAATATTTCTACGGAAAGAGTTAAAATCTCCTATCTAAACTGTTAATATTAGCTGTTTAAAGAACTCACGTAGTGTGACTAGTTTCTTAAGAGTTACTAAATAAGGAATCTGCACTGATATTATCAATCACCTTTTTGGAGAAACATTGCAAAGGAAGCTGGAGACAGGTGGCTTACATAGACAGAGACTGGGAATGTGAATGCTCGCTCTCTCTCTTTTTTTTTTTTAATACCCTCCTTAAAATGTTATAGGTGTTCCTGCATACTCATACAGTATTTCAGTATGATTTTGTCCATAGACTCAAAGAGACTGTTTTAAAGTATAGTTCTGATCATGTCAGACCTCTGTTAAAAAAAAAAATCCTCAGTGGTTCTTCATTATCTGATAATTGCTAATCATAACACTAGCCACTGTACATTGAAGGCTTTGTGTTAGGCACTATTCTGAGCATTTCACATTATCTCACTGAGTTTTTATAACAGCCTGTGAGGTAAGTACTTTTATTTCCATTTTATAAACAAGGCATGAAGATTTTAAGTAAATTATTTAGAGTACATAGCTAATAAGTGGCCAATCTGGTATATAAACTCAGGCACCCTGATTTCAGACCCCCTATTCTTGTCTGTAAATAGTTTTCCTAAACTACAATTGAAGACTCTGATCCTAGACTACCTTGCTGTATAGTAGTAGTAGTAGTATAGCCTCAGTATTCATGATCACATGACACACAAGGCCATCCTACTGTGTGGTAAAACTAGATTCTACATTACTCTGATCTCACTAGGACTTTGCCAGCTATATGAGTTTACTCATGTGAGTTTTTCTCATTGGGAGGCCTCTCTCTCTCCTTTTTTTTTTTTTTTTTTTTTTGAGATAGAGTCTTGCTCTGTCGCCCAGGCTGGAATGCAGTGGCACCATCTCTGCTCACTGCAAACTCCGCCTCCCGGGTTCACGCCATTCTCCTGCCTCAGCCTCCCGAGTAGCTGGGACTACAGGTGTCTACCACCGTGCCCGGTTAACTTTTTGTAGTTTTAGTAGAGACGGGGTTTCACTGTGTTAGCCAGGATGGTCTCGATTTCCTGACCTCATGATCCGCCCGCCTGGGCCTCCCAAAGTGCTGGGATTCTAGGCGTAAGCCACCATGCCTGGCTTTTTTTCTTTTTTGGAAACGGAGTCTCGCTCTGTCACCCACGCTCTAGTTCAGTGGCGCGATCTCGGCTCACTGCAACTTCTGCCTCCCGGTTCAAGCGATTCTCCTGCCTCAGCTTGCTAAGTAGGTGGGATTACAGGCACGTGCCACCATGCCTGGCTAATTCTTGTATTTTTAGTAGTGAGGGGATTTCACCATGTTGGTCAGGCTCGTTGGGAACTCCTGACCTCATGATCCACCCTCCTTGGCTTCCCAAAGTGCTGGGATTACAGAGAGTCCAGCCCCTTCTTTTCTTTTAACCCATTCATAGCCAAGTCCTGTTCTGTAGAACTGTGGTCATTTGCTTATATCTTTCCACTAAAGTGTAGATTGAGACTCATGATGAATTTTTGTTAGTGAGGTCCAACATTTCATCTAATACAATGCCCTGTGCGTAGTATTTATTAAATAAATGATTTTTTTAATAAGTAGGAATTTAGCAACCATTTTTAGCCCAATGTGTCTCAATATTCTGCACCTGGAAACAAAAACCAGTGCACAAAGCCATACCCCAGGCCAGATAGATCAGATCCTCTGGGGATGGGGCCTGGGAAACATTTTTTTTAAGCGTATATATGATTCCGTGTGCCACAGGGTAGAGTTGAGAATCACTGATGAAACTAAATTTGCTCCATTCCCCCCCCCCCAGGAGCAGGTGGAGGCTCAAAATCATGATTTCATACTTGAGAAATAGATTCGCGTTACACATTTTCTCTAGTTGCTAGTTATGTAAGTGAAATTGTTAAATCCCAGCATATTTGCTGTAACTATATGCTAAGACTGATTGTGATCAGTACATTGTACTAAACTGGAGAAGTCTTAATTTCTTCCAAATTTCATCTTTTAGGGGCCTAAAGTAATGGCATGATACATTATTTTTATTGAGATGTGCTGGATGACTTGTCATAATATCTCCCAGGGAGGAGACTGTTGAAACTGAGTAGCTATCTGGTTTCCACCTATTAACTATGTATTTTCAGTAACTGTTCTATTTAGGACATTACAAACCCAAAGTATGTTTAATATTGCCCTATGTCTCGGGATAAAAAAATTTCAAAATACATCATTTTACACTTTTTTCACTATTTCATTTCATCCTCACAACTACTCTCAGAGGAAAGTAGGGCAAGTATAATTAGCTCTATTTTACAGATGAAGAGAAACTCAGTCACTTAGGTCATATATTTGGTAAGTGATCAAGCTGGAATCACAACCCATTTCCTTACGTCTAACCCAGTGCCCTTTTTGCCACACCATAATACATTGTATAGTCAGTATTGAGCAAGGCTCTCAAGCAGTGCCCAGGATAAGGGTTATTTTTGAGGGGTATAGGCAGATAGCATCCAAAATAGAATATTAGACATATGGTAAGGCAATATGCATGCAATTGGGCTGTGTGTCAAGAACCCTGTATCTAGCCATCTAAAATAATCAGATGTAAGCAAATACTTTTAAAAGTAAGAATATAAATTCAGTGTTTAGAAGAGTGAAGAAACTCAGAATAGCATATTTAGCAGTAGAGGGTATAAGTGAATTTCGGTACATCCTTAAGATGTATATGTAACCATTTAAAGCTTTGAAAAAAATTAATGACATAGGAAAATGCTTATGAATTTACATTACGCAAAAAGGTATCAAACTATAATATGAACTATGAAGAAAAACATGATTGAGTGTACATGTACATGAAGAATAAATTGGATTGTAATACATCAAAATGTTAAAAGTAAGTCTGGTTGGTGGGGTTAGAAGTAATCACTATATTCCGTTTTTTCCAAAAATTTTTTTTTCCCATTTTTTGGCACAGCGATTGTATTTTCTAGTCAGGAATACATTTCAAAACCAAAAAGATCATGAAAAAGCCTTTGTAGAAAGAAATTTATCAGTGCCATCAGTGTTTATTGGTAATTAACATCATGGCTTAGAAAGCTTATAAATATTAAGTGATTAACATTTTTTCAGTGCGGTTTTGATCAGCGTGCACTGGGGTAGTACCCCAGTGACTTTCAGTGACTTTTAACAGCAATATATTTTATTGCTTTATTTTGAGGAAAAATATGCTGTTGCAAAAGTCAGCATTTTTTTGTGTATTTCATATTCACTCATTAGAACTTTATTACTCATTAGAACTTTAAGAGATGGAGTCTTGCTACATTGCCCAGGCTGGATTCTAAAGCATAGGCTGAAGTGTAGTCCTCCCCCTTCAGTCTACCCCAAGTAGCTGGAACTATAGGCACGAGCTACTGCATCAGGCTGGAACTTTTTTAAAAAATGGAATTTAGACTAGAGCCTGATAAATCAGAAAATCTTACCATTGTTGCTTATGTTAAATAAAGAACTAATTTGATCATTGTCCAAAGGGTGGAATAAAAGGTATAACCACATTTTCCTTTCATAATAATATTTAGTTGTTGGATTTTGCTGAGAAATTATTTAAATATGTTAACCCATATTCTCTTCCTTCTGATAATTTTGTAGGCTTGCAGGTAGATTTACTAGTTGTTTAAATTTCCCGTGATTATTATTCATCTTTCTAGACATAGTATCTTATTCAGAATGACAGGTATCTTTTATCATGGCTAGGTCCCAAATTTTCATTAAGAAAACCTAAGAACAGTTTTATTTTTATGAGAATTGTAATATATGGCCATTTTAGGAAACTCTTAAATGTTATTTAGAAAATGTATTTTTTTTGGTTGGGCGCGGTGGTTCATGCCTGTAATCCCAGCACTTTGGGAGGCCGAGGCGGGTGGATCAGCTGAGGTCAGGAGTTCGAGACCAGCCTAGCCAACATGGCAAAACCGTGTCTCTACTGAAAATACAAAAAAGTAGCTGGGCGTGGTGGCATGCACCTGTAATCCCAGCTACTCGGGAGGCTTAGGCAGGAGAATCACTTGAACCCAGGAGGCGGAGGTTGCAGTGAGCCGAGATCATGCCTCTGCCCTCCAGCCTGGGTCACAGAGCGAGACTCCTCCGTCTCAAAAAAAAGAAAAATGTATTTTTTTTTAAGTGTGCTGAAGTAGTTCACTTTGAGAATGAGGAAACAAAATAAACACAGTAAATACAGACATTAAAATGGAATATTCCTCCAGTCTTTTTAACTTTTATTGAGGAAAGTTTTTAAATTTCCTTTTGAATTTGAAGGTACAAGTGAAAAAAAAGAGTCCTATTAGTCTCAGTTTTTGCATCTGAAAGGAAGGTTACTAGGTTAAAGAAATAAAAGTATATATAATGCCATTTTTCTTCAGCAGAAAATACTTTTTTTTAATAATTCAAGATATTAATCTTTTGGGATTGAGATGTAATTTAGTGCTGAGTATTCAGTTGTAGGCCAAGATATTAAGGAGTCATCAGAGTCTAAAGGATTTGAGGGAGCTATGAATGGCAGCGTATAATTAAGTTAAAATGTAACATTGTGGCGGGGCATGATGGCTCACGCAGGTAATCCCAGAACTTTGGGAGGCCCAGGTGGGTGGATATCTTGAGGTCAGGAGTTTGAGACCAGCCTGGCCAACATGACGAAACCCCATCTCTTCTAAAAATACAAAAATTAGCTGGGCATGGTGGCGCATGCCTGTAATTGTCCTACTTCGGTGGCTGAGGCTGGAGAATTGCTTGAACCCGGGAGGTGGAGTTTGTAGTGAGCTGAGATCATGCCACTGCACTGCAGTCTGGGCGACAGTGTGTGACTATGTCTCAAAAAACCAACAATAACAACAAAAAAAACCAACATTGTCGTGTCTCTGATTTATTTTAGGTTTGTGTAATGCCCAAATTGCGTGGCTTGACATTATTTCTCATGTTTTTATTTTAAGTCAGAGCACCATAACATGGTGTGGGAAGTGAAGACAAATCAGATGCCTAATGCAGTACAGAAACTCCTGTTGGTGATGGACAAGAGAGCCTCAGGAATGAATGACTCATTGGAGTTGCTGCAGTGTAATGAGAATTTGCCATCTTCACCTGGATATAACTCTTGTGATGAGCACATGGAGCTTGGTAAGCAAAATTAAAAGTTACATAGGAGTCTCACTAAGATTCAGATAACTTTTCATACTTAGCCCGCTTCTCCACCAACCTTGACTGGCTAGAAAAGGATATGAAGTATTTGTATATTAGAAATTTTCAACATTATGTTATTGCTTTTAAAATAGTACTTAAAATCAACATGAGTTGGGCTATTTGTGGTTATTGTAGAGACTCATTTACAGATTATTAAATTAAACTACTTTGTGTATAAAGACTGGACCCCACTTGTGCCTTTTCGAAAGATGCTACTTTTGAAACATACTCGAGAGAGCTCAGTAAAATATGCTGAGCCACTCTTCGTGGCAGATTTGCTGGTATGATGTGGAAATTGCAGTGGACCCTTGAAACTTGAGGATCTGACATTTATGGTTGTCACTATTGCTGAACTACTCCTTGAGATATGTGACCTGTAGAAATGTGTAAGTTTGTTGAGGTATGTTTTTGAATTGTATTGCTTCGAGGCTGGTGTTCAGGAGTACAGAGCTAATGAGTGACCTTGGCTTGCTGCCCAGCTTTTCAGCTTGGCGTTGCCCCTATTTAATATATGGGGGTTTCCCTTCATGTTTATAAAAACGCTGGGGAGAAGATACAGCTGTCTTATTTTTACAAATGATGAAATGGAGGAGATTATGTACTGTGGTAATGTTTGGAAATTTGGAGATCTTAAGCTCTTGGGACACATAACCTGCTTGAATGCCAAGGATTTTCTGGGCCCTAGTATGAGTACTGGTTACTTTTGAGCAAGGAGTGCCATTTTAATCAGGTAGTTGATCTTCCTCCATCATGTTTTTGGTTTAAGGAGGAACTCAGAAACTTAGGGCCCAGGGGAGTAAAATAACATGCCCCTTCCACCTATGACTTCGTTTAAAAAGTAGTTAATTTCCTGAACTTCAGAACAAATGAACCCTTTGCAGTAAATGAACGTTGGTCAAAGGCAATGAGGGAAAGGAAATAGCTATACCAGCATGAAAATTGTAGGGTAGAATTATTTTAAATTGGTGTGATGTTCTAGAACTCCTTGGCTCCTTCATGACTCCATGAAAGAAGTCAGTTTTTACCAATGGATATCCTGAGTCAGTACTTCTAATTAAAACATTTCAGTTTGGCTTGGCATGATGGTTCACGCTAGTAATCCCAGTACTTTGGGAGGACAAGGATCATTTTGAGACCAGGAGTTCAAGACCAGCCAGGTCAACGTAGCGAGATCTCATCTCTACAGATTTTTTTTTTTTTAATTAGCTGGGCATGGTGGGCACATGCCTGTAGTCCTAGCTACTTGAGAGGCAGAGGCGTGAGGATCACTTGAGCCCAGGGATCCAAGGCTTCAGGGAGCTATAATTGTACCACTGCACTCCAGCCTGGGCAACAGAGTGAGACCCTGTCTCAAAAAAAACAATTTTCTTTTTTTTTAAAGATTAGGACATTTCAGTTTTAGTAGACTGTTCTGGAATATTTGCCTGAATAGAATTATACATACTTTTATAGTGACATTGAGGAGACTAGAAGTTTTCTTGACTTGTATATTTAAGGGACCCAGTAGGTTTGTGGAGTTTGTAGTATGTGTTTCATGGAGAGTTGTTTTTTTTTAAGCCTTAAAGATGCTTTTTCTTTCCTACTGCATACACACATACATACAAATATATATATATATATATATTTTTTAAAAGAATATATATATATATATTTTTTTTTAAAAGAATATATATATAATTTTTTTTAAAGAATTCAGTATTTTGGAATTCAGTGTTCCTTATAGTGCTTGGTGTGTACATGAATGGTACTTGGGTAATATTTCTAGTCGTCTTATGGGGAACTGAAAGGGTATTGTGAACTACCTTTTAAGAATGCACTTATAGGAAAAAATAACCAGTAAATATTAACAAGATCAGAATTTATTAGTGAAAAGAAATACTTTAACACAGAGTTGTGTAAGTAGTAGCATAAATATTTATGTGATCTATATTATTATGGAAATTATTGTTTTCATTATAGTCTGTATAACAGGTTATTAAAGTATGTGATTAGTAAGTACATAATGCACACATAAAATGTGCTTTTCTTGATTAACTTGTTAATGTAAAAATGTCTCAATGGCATATGGGTCACTCCTAGGTGAGGTACAAAAACCTAGGGGGAATAAAAAGCAGAAAACACAAACCAGATCATGTTTTTCCAGTCTGTGAACAGAATGTTAAATTTATGCTTTTCCTCTCTCAAAATTAATTAGCTAAAATTGACTTCTCTTTTAACTGCAGTTATAATATTGTTCCTTGTATTAGTAATTTCCTTTTTATGATTTTGAGTGTGCTTATATTTGCAGATGACCTTCCTGAACTTCAGGCAGTTCAAAGTGATCCTACCCAATCTGGCATGTACCAGTTGAGTTCAGATGTTTCACATCAAGAATACACAAGACCATCTTGGAACCAAAATACCTCAGACATACCAGAAACTACTTACCGTGAAAATGAGGTGGACTGGCTAACAGAATTGGCAAATATCGCGACCAGTCCACAAAGTCCACTGATGCAGTGCTCATTTTACAATAGGTAGGAGCATTGATTATATTTTTATTTAAAAATTCTATCATTACAAAAAGGTTTTGTTTAAAATTTTTTCTAGTTTAAAAGTAATAATGCTTTAAATTATTAGAATTTAAGTCATTAGAATTAAGCTCCTTATCTAATGATCAAAGACTTATTTCACTTACTACCATGATTTCATATTTTGAGAATTAAAGGTGATAATGAGAACCATAGAGTAAAAAATATTTGTAAATGTTTAAAATAAATTAGACCATGAAATAATTTTACTACATATAGAAATGAAAATTATATTTGTCTAAAGAAGCAGAGTTGTAATCAAGATTATATTTTAAACTTTTATCAAACTTGAGTTGGGTTCCATTTGGTCTAGGTTTATTTCTTCCGTAGTTTATGTGGCCTTATGTTATTTGCCTGTTTGCTAATTCTAAAATTTGCTAATATTGAAATCTTAAACTTACAAAAGTGGATTAAAAGTGGGTAACACTGTTTCATATATCCAGACAGAGTTTAAGAAAATGAGTGTGCTATGAAATTATGGAAGCTTCCAGCTAATACGCCTAGGGAGACCTAAGTGGAAAATACTTTATTGTTTATCCCTAAAAAGAAATGGATAAATATGACAGTTTATAAGGGAGAGAAATGCCCATATTTGCACACCTGTGAGTAGGAAATGATAGACCAGAGTTTTATACTAGGTAATGTAGGAATAACTGTAAACTTTGTTAGTGCTCCTGAGTGTAATGCATTGCCAAAGAATAAACTTATTAGGTATGAAATCTCACTTTTCTTGTAATCTATTAAGTTGTGCTGCTTTTCTTGTATTTAGCAGGATATTGATCTTGACTAGAGCAAATTGAATTTAGTTAACTTCAGTTTAATTCCATGTTTGTTTCCATAGGAAAGAAAACTTCCTTTCAGAGTTCCTATTTCCTTTATAGTCCTAGTTTTCGTTGTAATCTTAATAGTCAAAAAGCTAAAAATTATTATTTTTTAAAAAAACCCGATTTAACTATCGGATTTGTTTTCTTTCTCTAGAGATAATACTTTTTTTCAGTTTTTACAGCAGAGTCATAGGATTAATAATACAGTTTATGGAAAGTGTGTAAACCCTTCAGAAGAAAATCAGTGTAAATAAAAACATAAGACATAAAGAAAGGAGTATCTCCCTGAGGATGTATTATTCTGTCCAGCATTTTGAGTAATGCTCTGCTCTCTGGCCTGCCTCCTAACACTGTCTGCTCATGCAGCTTCTTGTTGGGTGTTAAACTATGTTACTGAGCTTTGATATCTGAAGTCTTAACTGTATAGTTAAGGAGTTGAGGACAGGTAAAAATTTATATTACCCCTGCATAGATAGAGAAATGAAGAAATCAATGCTGTGAGTGTTGAGACATGTTTAGCATGTTAATTTTCACAGAGTATTCAGGCCATATGCATTTTAGAATATCACATTGTTCTTCATTTTGATTTATTTTTACTTTTTGTCACTTCCGTTTTAAGTGGTTAAACAGAAGAACTGATAAAACTCACTTTTTAAAATTAGGGAGTCAGGGATGAACAAAAGGAATATTTAGCAGTTTGGCCATTCTCTGATACTTCATTTATATCTAAATGTGTAATAACAGGATGGCCAGTTTTTGGGCAAAAGATGAAACATTTAGCATATAATTTGAAATCAAAACTTGGAGAGTATGCTAAAATGCATGGATATCTGAGGGCCTTTTGATTTAAGGAGTGATATGAACATGAAAGCAAAGTATAGATCCTTATGTAAAAGTAATTTCTGGAAAGGTAAAATGCAAAATGTTAATGAGGATAAAGTAGAAATTGAAGGGCTAATACAATTTCTCAGGAAATAAGGGAAAAATTGGAAAGATGTCCTTTCTCTCTCTCTTTTTTTTTTTGTTTTTGAGACAGAGTCTTGCTCTGTTGCACAGGCGGGAGTGCAGTGGCGCAATCTCGGCCCACTGCAAGCTCCACCTCCCAGGTTCACGCCATTCTCCTGCCTCAGGCTCCTGAGTAGCTGGGACTGCAGGCGCCCACGACCACGCCTGGCTAGTTTTTTGTATTTTTAGTAGAGATGGGGTTTCACCGTGTTAGCCAGGATGGTCTTGATCTCCTGACCTCGTGATCTGCCCGCCTCGGCCTCCCAAAGTGCTGGGTGGGATTACAGGAGTGAGCCACCACACCTGGCCCTTCCTCTCCTTTTTAAAAGAGTATTAGTATAGATATGCATAAACTTTTTCTATTAAGCACCACATCTCTATTTGGCATCTCAACAATTATCCTGATTTGGGACCTTACCTTCAGATGGTTTTCCCTCCTCCACCTGACTGTCTTCCTCTCTGCTTCCTTTCCAGACTGCTGAGTCCGTACATGTCATTAATCATCCTTTATAAGCTTGTTTCTTTCTGTTACCCCACCCATGAATATCTGGTTTGTTTGTGAGGGAAGGATCTGGGTATGCTCCTGGGAGCTCCATATACTCTAAAGGGAGCATTGTCTGGTAAAAGAGACTTTTGAGGGGAAGAGAAGAGGGGAAGGGATAAAGTTTTTTTTTTAAGGTGATCCTTGGGGAGAAAAAAAAACTAGACCTTATATGTAGTTGCTTTTCAGCAAGTTTGTATTAGAAAACAAGAAATAGTGTCCAGTTACGAGGAGGGTGGATAGGCTGCTCTCTGCTATAAAAAGTTTAAGCATTTTTGCTTAAGGTAGTTGTTATATCTGTCCAGTGATATGTGGTTGGTAGATAAAGAGTTCAGAGTTGGTTACATTAAGCTTAAATGCTGTCTTCATACTGGGAGTTACTGAGTACATCAAAGTAGAAGAAAGAAATGGATAGGACGCCCTGCATAAGTGGATATTAACATTCACGAATGAAATACACACGTATATGTATTGATAGAAAAATGAATGGGATAAATGAAACCGTAGTCGTAATTTAAAATATATTGTCAAATCTGAAAAAATGGTATCTAAAATGTGAGGATAATTTGGATAAGGAGTTAAGGAATATGATTATAAAATGAAATCTTGCTGTCTTTATTCATGTTTACCATAGATGTGTTCAATGTAATAACATTGGCATTTTAAATACGAAGTTATTTCATCAACAGGAAAGATCTACTTTAAGGACCTATGCTTACGGTTAAAACTGTTGCTTTATTTTAGATCATCTCCTGTACACATCATAGCCACTAGCAAAAGTTTACATTCCTATGCACGCCCTCCACCAGTGTCCTCTTCTTCGAAGAGTGAGCCAGCCTTCCCTCATCACCATTGGAAGGAGGAAACACCAGTAAGACATGAAAGGGTAAGTTTATTTATGAGGTTAAACTTTTACAAAGTTTGCACAACAGTTGAAATACATTAACTTTCCCCATAGGAAATAGTCTCACTGTTCTGTTAGTGATCTGGATTTGATTTTATATACAGCTCTACTATGTGTTAGGAAAGTTTATTATTAATGGGAATGTGCATATAACTTAAGCTTCCAAAAACTTTGTTTTGTGTGTGTGTGTGTGTCTTTTTTTTTTTTTTTTTTTAGCAAATTCTCCCATAGCCTGACAATCTTCAGTTTTTGAAGGCGTTATATTTTCCCTAAGTTTAGAATTATTAAGTTACCCGCCTACAAGCATGGGCCTAAAGACGTGAGATGAAAACAGATATTAAAAGGTATATTTTAAAAACAAATAAAAAAGTTGATAATATTTTTCTCCATAGGCAAATAGTGAGTCAGAATCTGGCATTTTCTGCATGTCCTCCCTGTCAGATGATGATGATTTGGGATGGTGCAATTCCTGGCCTTCAACTGTCTGGCACTGTTTTTTGAAAGGTAAAAAAAAAACCTTGAATTTTCTACAGCTTACTTGTCTAGTACAGTCACATGTCTAATACTTGTTTTCTACCTAAACCTTAGGCACACGACTGTGCTTTCATAAGGGAAGCAATAAGGAATGGCAAGATGTTGAAGATTTTGCTAGAGCTGAAGGCTGTGATAATGAGGAAGATCTTCAAATGGGCATTCACAAGGTTAATTTAAAAGTCTTAAAAAATTTTTCAAAATCTTTCAAAATGAAACAAGATATGTTGTTAATCTACAGAAATATCCTCCATTCACTTTCATATTTAAATGACATCTTACATTTTAGGTAGAGAACTTTTATGACCACTCATTGCTTAGTCTGATGGGGAGGAGCATTGATTTTAGGTTTGCCTTTCTATCATGCTTTCTTGGATGGGAAATAGTATATTTCTTGGTGCTTCTTTGTGTTTTATACACTTTACATTGGGGAAAACTGATATTACAAATATGTAACGAGGCCGGGCGCGGTGGCTCACGCCTGTAATCCCAGCACTTTGGGAGGCCGAGATGGGCAGATCACGAGGTCAGGAAATGGAGACCATCCTGGCTAACACGGTGAAACCCTGTCTCTACTAAAAATACAAAAATATTAGCCGGGTGAGGTGGTGGGCGCCTGTAGTCCCAGCTATTCAGGAGGCTGAGGCAGGAGAATGGCGTGAACCCGGGAGGTGGAGCTTGCAGTGAGCCGAGATTGCGCCGCTGCACTCCAGCCTGGGCGACAGAGCGGGACTCTGTCTCAAAAAAAAAAAAAAAAAAAGTATGTAATGAATAAATTAACGAACCAAAGCCTTGCCTTAGGTAATCTACAAAGTGATTAATTCCCCTATAGATTATTGACAGTCAATTATTGTAAGGTACTTTATATAAGCTGTTTTATATTAAGTTACTAAAACTAGCATTTTCTAAGTTGATGAGCAAAAGCAGTAGCGAGCAATATTAGGATAAAGTTGACACCTTTCACTTTGAAATTTTTAATTTCTCCATCTCTCCTGTAGGCAAGAAAATGGGCATGTGAGATGTGCTTGTACAAATTCTTTTTTTGATCCTGCTGTGTCTCACTATTAAGTCTCTTGAGAAAAATTGTCCTGTCTTGGCTGCCTTCAGTTTCCTCCCCTTGCTTTACTCTTCACTTTAGTAAAGTTCACAATAGTCTTAACTTTCGCCTCTACTGCTCTACAAAAATTGTCTCAAAGGTTACTAGCTTTATTCTGATTTCTAGGATGAGAGACCTTATTTGTTCTGTTTGACATCTGTACAATATTTGACACATTGGGTTAGTTCCTGACATTGTCTTCCCTTGATTTGTGTAGCATGGCAGCATCCTGATTCTCAGTCTTTTAGGTCTGGTACTTGACTGTCCACAATGCTGAATATTAGACAAGATTCTGCCCCCTTCACTTTCTTCACCAGTTCCTCTCTCCTGATAATGTCAGCAGCGCCTCCATCGTGTCCTATGGAAAGCACTCTGGACTTGGAGTCAGGAAACCTGGACTCTCTTTATAGCTTCTCCAGCAATTATCTGTGTTACTGATCTTAGGCAGATTGTTAACCCCTCTGAGTATTGGCTGCCTGATCTGAAAAATGGGATTGGATTACTTTTAAGGTCTCCTGCAGCCCTGAGAATTAGAAGATTTTGTAATTTCATTATTTGCCAGTCTGTGTCTATAACCTTCACCTGCACATTTCCAGCTGCATGTTAGACATCTCTACATGAATATCAGTCAATTATTTGAACTAAGCTTAGTATGACCAAAACTGCCCTCACCTTTTTCTTCATCTTCTTGGCTTACTTTTCTCCTATTCTGTTAAAGTTATTATTATCCTCCTCCTTGATTACCAGATTCAAAACCATGAAGTTAGTCTTTTACTATTCTATTTCTTCCATTTATATTCATTTCATTCTAATTCTGTAAAAATTTTTAAGTCATTCTCTCTTATTCATTACCTTGTTCATGTGTTAGCATAATTATGCTTGGATACTATAGCAAGCTTTTGGCATGTTTGTCTCCTTTGTTTTTCGGTGAATGTAAGGGTAAGGATCATGTTTGTTAGTGTTTGTATTTTCAGATCCTACCATGTGGCATGTGTTAAATGCTCAGTATTCATTGAATTTAAATTTGTCTGCTTCTATTACCATTGCACTTGTCAATTCAGGTCTGTAATAGGTGTCTCTCATTATATCCTCAAGTAATTGAATATGAGATCTTTCCTTCTGTAGAGTTTCTTCTTATTTACCATCATCTTAAAAATTGACAGTCATGCTGATGAAAACACTTTGATTGATTTCCCAATACCTTCTAAGCAAAAAGTGTAAGTACTTTGCTTGTCTTTAAGAGGCCTTTACTAACTGGCCTCTCTTTATTAACTTTATTTGCCCCAGATCTGAACTCACCTTGTATTTTTAGCAAATACTCAGCACTCCCCAAAGAAGTTGTTAATTACAGATTTCTTGGTGCAAGGCATGTCCTTCCATCTTTCTAAGTTGCATTCTCAGTTCCAGTTGGAATTGAAAATCCTCCTTAATCTCTCTTTTGGAATTAATAACTCTTTATTAAACTGCGTCACCATTATTTATACTTGAGTGTAATTGCTTATTCCAGTCTAGTTACTTATATATGTGTCTTTCTTCACTACTGGGTTTGAAAGCTCTTTAATGGCAGGGATCCTGTCTTGGTTATTTTTACCTTTTCCACAAAGTCTTACATGTAATGGGAACTTCACAGTGTTTTGAATTGAATATTTCCAATTCATTCACGCTATGCATATATTTTCAGGGCTATGGTTCTGATGGTCTAAAGTTGTTATCACATGAAGAAAGTGTATCATTTGGCGAGTCTGTACTGAAGTTGACTTTTGATCCTGGTACAGTAGAAGATGGTTTACTTACCGTAGAGTGTAAGCTGGACCACCCTTTCTATGTTAAAAATAAAGGTAGGGCTTGAATTGCATTTGTAGTAACGTTTTTTAAACAAAGCTTCTTAAATCTGTAATTATGTCTGTAGCTTTGATGATTAAGAAAAAATAATTTGAGGGGAAAACATCTTTCAAACTAAATAAAAAACTACCATAGGGAATGCTTATAATAATACCTAATGGTGCTTAAGTATCTTAGCAGTAGTCAGGTGGAACTCTATTTCCTGTGAGTGTAAGAAATTTTTAGATTCATGTAGCATACTATAATAAACTTTCTGTTATCTTGGTATAGTTTGGGGAATGTAGTGATCTGGTTATCACATTTTCATTAAGAGTTACCAAATATGATATAAACCTGAATCACTCTTCAGAGCCTTACTATAGTAACACCATGTTAAACATAATTTTATAATTCAGAAACTATTTCATGGTCTCAGTCATCATTTATCACTTATTGTCATTGTAGACTGATGGAAGTGCTGATTGATAGAGGAGCCCTATATATAATAAAATGCTGAATAATAAGCTAGTTTTAGAGGGCTCTTACATTGCTGAAAGGAAATACTTATCTAGTACTTTATTGTAAAGATACATGACTTGTGTTAGAGAATCTCTTGAGATTTAGCAATAACTTTTTATTTTTAAGATATAGAAATGATATGTCTGTTCTGAAGTAGGGTGCTTTCTGTGAGTCCTCATCCTTTATGCAACATTGTTTAACTTTAGGTTGGTCATCATTTTATCCAAGCTTGACTGTGGTACAGCATGGCATTCCATGTTGTGAAGTTCATGTTGGCGATGTATGTCTACCTCCTGGACACCCCGATGCCATTAATTTTGATGATTCAGGTGTTTTTGATACATTTAAAAGGTAATATTGGATTAATTCTTTGTTTTATTTTCCTCTTAAAGTTTGCCCTTCATTTCCCTAATGGTTGTTAAGTCAGATATTTAGGAATTTCAGTCTTTAAAGATTTGAGAATGATGAAATGAAAACTTACTAGGTAATTAAAGTATAATAGTTAACAGAGTTTTGCATATAGTTGTCATATAGGAAAATTGAGTTTATAAAACATTTAGGATTAGATAAGGAAGAATATCACACGTTACATGACCAAGAGTTTAATGGTTCAGCTTTGATAGTTAGATTTAAAAAGTTGTGGTATCTGGCCAGTTGTTTTTAAACAGCTTATACATCTCTTGTGTTTTTTGTAGTTAACTGTATTTTTCTTGATATATTAGTTAACTGTATCTTTGTTTAATACTTATTTTGACCAAGGGCATTAGTTGCATGGTTTAACAAACAGTAGAAAATAGGCCAAACTTGACATCTAAAGGCTTAGAGAGGGGAAGTGGTTATTCCTGAGATCACGTTGCTGGTAAGCGGCAGAGTAGGACAAGAACCAACGTGTCCTGACTCCAGAAGGTTGGTCAGCTATCTTCATTTATATGGGCTTTTCCTGGTTTTTGTGCTGAAAGTCCAGCTTTCAGGAAACCCCTCAGTCCTAGACAAACTGGAACAATTGGTCACCTTGCTCCTAGAAGGAACCCAGAGAAAGTCTGCTTGTAGATATCTGGGATTTAAAGATACATTCTTTCTTTAAGATGATGATCAAATCCATAGGCATGTACGGGCACTAATTAGAGAATTCCCAAGAGTCCCTGCTGGCCTGTAGATTTTATTTCATTCAGTTTAATTAATATATTTTATATATCATGAGGATGAAACTATTATTAAAAAAGCAAATCGCATAGGGCCTGACACAAGCCACATGCTCAATAAATGTCTACAAGCTTATACTCTTAATGCTGTTTGATTATATCCCTCATACACACTCTTTTTTGAAAAACTAGAAAAATGAGTCAAAATTTTAATGACTGATACTTAGGATATATAGATTAGTGATAACTCCTATGTTTTGGTGAGACTGTAACCTGATAGAAAAATTTTGGAAGATAATTTGGCTTTATCTTGTAAAGGTATTAGCAATTTCATTCCTCTTTTATATATATCCTAGAGAAGTAAATTCTTGTAATCATGCTCAAGGAGATGTGCAAGTAAGTTTGTAGCTGTATTGCTCATGATAGCAAAAATGTGGAAACTGTCAATACTTATTAACTGGAGAGTGACTCCATGAATTCTATTATAATCATAGTGGAATTAGTGGAAAATGAATGAACCTTAGGTATACACTTTAAGACATGGATCAATTTTTAAGACAATGTTTAGTAAAAATAAGTCTTGGAAATATACAGTATGAGTCTATTTTATGGAATCATGTTCCTTAGAAATATATCAAATAAAATAACCATTATATATGGTATGTAGCACACATTATATAATTATGTCAGGGGTCCCTGAAGACTAGCCCCCAGGTTTGATGATTTGCTCAGAGAATTCACAAGACTCAGCACATAGTTGTGCTCATGGCTGTGACTTATTATGGCAAAAAGATATTAATACAAAGCAAAACTGGGAAAGGGAAAAGATGTGGGGTGAAGTCTGGGGGAAGCAAGGCTTCTAGGGATCCTCTCCCAGTGGGATTAAGGGCATGTTTTATTCCCCCAGCAGTGGGCTGTGACAACATATATGAAATATCTCCTAGGGAAGCTCGTTAGACTCACTCGGGCACCTAGGGTTTTTATTGAGAGCGGTCACGTAGGTTTCTTCTCCCTGGCACATACCAAAATCCAGACTTCCAAAAGGAAAGCAGGCATTCAGAGCAAACTGTTGTTTGTACATCCAGTTTAGGCATAGTAAGCCACTCAGTTGTGGGAATGATGGGACCCCTCAAAATCCAAGTTCTAGAAATTAGTCAAGGGTCAACCTTGTAAGTAGACTTTTGAAAGGATAGCAGTCATTTCTGCATAATGAAACACTGTGTCTTACATATTAAGAAAGATAGTAATATAACTAATGCTACTATAGTATTTATATATTGTATTTATGAGTAATATTTTCATAATAAAATTGAAAAAATAAAGGAATGATAAATATTCAGGAGAGTGGTTATTTCTGGGAGTGGCAAATATGGAACTTTAAGTGATACTAGAAATATTCTTAATTTGAATTGTGGGTTCACTCATTTATTTGTATGCTTCATAACTTACATATATATGTAAATTTTACATATTATTACATAGCACAAAACTTTTTTAAAGCAAAAGGGAAAACTTGCCTGCCTAATTCCTGTTTTTCTGAGATAGCAAATTCTTAACCATTTGATCTCACTGAATAATAATCACTCCCAAGATGACGTTAGTCATTGGTCTGATTTTATTGTTGAGTGACTTCAGTATAACAGCAGGAGCACCCACCTTGCAAAGGAGTGGAAATGGGTAGTATCATCATGGAGAAACCAGGACAAAATTGAGATGCTGAAAGTGACTATATTTTCATTGTGGATTGGATTGGTTAAGGGAGATGATGCCTGGCCTAGGGAGGGCAAGAAGATAAAGAGGTAAGAAGAGGAAAAAGTCCAAGTGGAACTGCTCCAAGCAAACTCTCGGGTCATGATTTACAGAGGACATGTGAGTAGTGTGTAGCTCAGGAAGAATCAGAAGTCAGCAATCAGTTGATGAGTTCTCATACGTAATTCAAGGTTCTGTTGTAAGCAGTCCATTCTGAGACACTTGAGAATTGAGGCCAACCTTCTAGGCCTCGGGCATTTAAAATAGTTTTTTTGACTTTTTGAAGTTGACATTTCTGTTCAAGTAATATGATTTAACAAACTTACTGAGTGCCTACTATGTATATAATGTTAATTTATTTCATATTAATTACCCTATTTGTAGATTATATCCTCATTTTACAGAGAGAAGTAAAGTTGAGCGGTTAAGGAATAAAGCCCAAAATAAAGGCAGTTAGTGTCAGAATTAGGATTCAAGCCCATATCTTGTAAAGATTCCAAATTTTTAGTACTCTAGCTACTCACCTAAGATAATTCTAAGTTAATTCTACAATAATAGATACCCCTAATGGCATAATACACTGTGCCAGCTTCTGCCCTGTTTCTTACGTTTATTGTTCTTTTTGGCACCACTGCATAGCATAATTTCACAGATAAGTAAACTGAGGCTATAGGGTTTATTTAACTTGGCCAAGGTCTTACTACTAGCTGGAATTTGAACTCAATTGAAATTTTCCATTATTATTTTCAGAATTGGTTAAAAAATGAGTTAAGAATGGGCATGCCTCTTTGCTTCCAGTCTAGAAAAGGAAATGGATTAGTAAATGTATACAGTAAATGTACATGCTGATTGAGAGGCAGTGTAGCCTGTTAGGAACGTGAGCTCGATCTGGACTGCTTGGATTCAAATCCTGGCTTTGCAATTGATTTGCTATGGAAGCTTGAGTAAATTAATATTTCTATGGCTCCTTTAAAAAAAATTTGTAAAATGGGGATAATATTGGAAGGATTAAATAAGTTAGTATCTGTGACATGGTTAATAGGCAGTACATTATTGTGGAGTTTGCCATTAAGACTAGTGATCAGACAGTGAAGTGGGAATGGGCATTCTAAGCTTAGGGAATGGCATGTACACAAAGTAGAGCTGTGAAAGGCACATTTGGGTACGGGTGCTTTAGTGAAGAGAGTGAATGCTTACCTAAGGTAGTATAGCAAAAGATGAAGCTATTTTTAAAGATACTCTATGTCATTACTGCTACAGTAATAGTCATTGAATTTTGTGACTGAATATTTAAAACTGATTTAAGTTGTATCTGTAATGGAAGTAGATGATAGTTATATTTGTGCCACTAGATGGTGGAATTTTCAAATTTTAGTAATTAGCTTACCCAGTATCTTTTGGTATTTTAAGTTGTAATCATTTTCCATCAGTAGAGATGGGTAATTTTGTGTCAGTGCTAAAGTTTGCTATTTTTCTAAATTATGTATGGGAGGGGCTGAAGATACCTTACAAAAACTGCAAACCTAGAAAGCAGACATTGCTTTCCTGACATAATACTGATTGCTAAGCATTCATTAGGTAATTTTGGAGTCATAGTTTAAGTACATTTATTTCATGCAATACTTTCAGAAAAAAGACATCATGTACTTGATAATTGGTAAAAGTCATTTACTGTGTGTAGTCAGTGGCATGGACCACCCTCATTCCTTTGGCTGTTTCCATCTATCTTTAGAATTTTGTAATCTCATGTTTTACCTTTAGGCAGATGGTATTCCTGTAGCTAATGTTAACCTATTTTGATGTATTACCGGAATTTCTGTTTCAGAGAAGCAAGTAGGAGCTAAGTTGAGATTAGAAGCTGAATAAAAGGTTTCCTGCCAAGAAGACAGAAAAGTACTATAGGCAGAAAGAGTTAATGCTGGAACAAGAGAATTCTTTAGCTTATTTCCATGTCTATGTAAACTGAACATACAGAACAAAATGTGGCCTTTCCTGAGAAAGGCGGGTTTTTACAATAAACTTTTTTATGTTATTAGGCTATGTTATAGTTCATGGATGCCCTTTCAGGAGAGTGATGTATGTGTGGCTCTCTACCTAAACAAATGACCCAGATTACTGGGCATTTTAAGTTCCTTTATTTATTTATTTGTTTTTGATTTTTTTTTAGACAGAGTCTCACTCTGTTGCCCAGGCTGGAGTGCAGTGGCATGATCTGCCTCCCGGGTTCAAGCGATTCTCCTGCCTCGGCCACCTGAATAGCTGGGATTACAGGCATGTGCTGCCGTGCCCAGCTGATTTTTGTATTTTTAGTAGAGATGGGGTTTCACCATGTTGCCCAGGCTGGTCTTAAACTCCTGACCTCAGGTGATCCACCCACCCTAGCCTCCCAAACTGTTGGGATTACAGACGTGAGCCACCAGGCCTGGCCTTAAGTTCTTTTAGCCACATTTAACAGCTTTTCATTGCCCTTTCCCAACCTTTTGTTTTCTGTAGTATTTAGTCCTTAGGCCTGATATGTTGCCTGCCACTCCATTTTAATTTTCTAGGTCTGGGTGCCTATAGGCCAAGAAATTGTATTGTCACATTTATCCAGAAATGAATTTAAAATAAAAATAAGTGGGTTGTGTAGGATTTGGAGGAGTTACTTGCTATGAATAAAGTATGCTGATTATAACATTCCTTTGGGAGGTTCAAAGTCTTTTTTAAGCTTTTGTATTATCTACAGAGGTTTTTTTAAAGAAATTAATTTTAGTTGGCACATACACAGATTTCATTTTATAAGCAACTATCAGTGGCAAAAGTTGTTAGTGTTGGTAACATGATACAGGGGGATATGCACTGAAATTTCCAATCATGTTAAGGGTTTTTTTTTTTTTTAAACCTGCTTTTTAGAAATCAGAATTCTAAATTGAATTAAAATCTTACTTTTTTTTTTTAAATTTTATAGCTATGACTTCACACCTATGGATTCTTCTGCAGTTTATGTGTTAAGTAGTATGGCTCGCCAGCGTCGTGCATCTTTGTCTTGTGGAGGACCTGGTGGTCAAGACTTTGCAAGATCTGGATTCAGTAAAAACTGTGGCTCACCTGGATCATCACAGCTCTCTTCCAATTCTTTGTATGCTAAAGCTGTTAAAAACCACAGCTCAGGGACTGTGAGTGCCACTTCTCCTAATAAGTGCAAAAGACCAATGAATGCCTTCATGCTTTTTGCCAAAAAATACAGAGTTGAATATACTCAGATGTATCCAGGGAAAGATAACAGGTAAAAATAGTGATAATTCTGATTATAATAAATGAGTAATACTTCAATATGGTTCATAGTAACTGGAATAGTTAAGTAAACTTATTCTTTAATAGCTTTTATTCAACTCATAGGTTGACTTTTTTTTTTTTTTTTTTTTTTTTTTTTTTTGAGATGGAGTCTTGCTCTGTCACCCAGGCCAGAGTGCAGTGGTACAATCTCGGCTCACTGCAGCCTCAGCCTTCCAGGTTCAAGCAATTCTCCTGCCTCAGCCTCCCAAGTAGCTGGGACTACAGGTGCCCACCACCACACCTGGCTAATTTTTTGTATTTTTAGTAGAGACAGGGTTTCACCATGTTGGCCAGGCTGATCTCGAACTCCTGACCTCAGGTGAACCACCCGCCTTGGCCTCCCAAAGTGCTGTGATTACAGGCGTGAGCCACCGTGCCTGGCCAGGTTGACTTTAAGAAGTTACTAAGTGGAATTTTTAGGGTTATATGTAATTATTTTATAATACCTAGACAATTAGGTTACCTACCTTAGTAATAAGGATCTACCTTTTATTATTTGTGCTGTAGCCCAGGCTGGAGTACAGCGGTGTGACTCACTGTAGCCTCTATCTCCCAGGCTCCATTAATCCTCCTACCTCAGCTTCCTGAATGGCTGGGATTACAGGCACATGCCACCACACCCAGCTAATTTTTGTATTTTTTGTAGAGATGGGGTTGTGCCATGTTGCCCAGGCTGTTCTCAAACTCCTGGGTACAAGCGATCTGCCTGCCGCCCAAAGTGCAAGATCTACCTTTTAAAATCATCTTATTTACCTGTTACAGGACACAGTTCTAACAATTGATAGTTGTATCTTTATAGAACAGCGAAACTAAGTCAACTATGGATTGTACGGGGAACTGGCAATTTGTAGCAAGTTGCCAGAGTTGTCAAAAGGCTGAACTTAAGAGCTGTCCTCAGTGGAAGCTGGGAATACAAATCAACTCAAGTCCTTCCTACTCTGTTGCCTGTACCCTTACTCATCTCCAATTCCTGTACTACTGAATCCCTCTCATACCAGTCAGGTTCTCCATATATTAATAAAGCTGTCTTCTTCCAGTCTTTGTATCCTGAGGATCAAAACTACTGTTTCCTTTATCTTGATATCATGAGAAAAGTCAGATGTAACACAGTAATGAATAGCTTTGTCCTAGTTCCTTATTCCTTAAGATACCTAAGTGTGGAATTACGAGTCAAGAATTCTAAGAGCCTTTGTTTGTTTGTTTTGAGGCAGAGTCTCACTGTCATCCAGGCTAGAGTGTAGTGGCAGGATCTTGGTTCACTGCAACCTCTGCCTCGTGGGTTCAAGTGATTCTCCTGCCTCAGCCACCCGAGTAGCTGGGATTATGGGCATGTGCCACTACGCCCAGCTGATTTTTCGCATTTTTAGTAGATACGAGGTTTCACTATGTTGGCCAGGCTGGTCTCGAACTCTTGAGCAAGTGATCTGCTCACCTTGGCCTCCTAAAATGCTGGGTTTACAGGCATGAGCCACTGGGCCCAGCCCTAAGAGACTTTTTAATACTATTGAAATTTTTTAACTCTTGGATCTGTCATTTGTGTGACTTTTGGCAATTAATCTAAGTTGTAATCCATTTCTTCAGTAAAAAGGGGGGGTTTAACTGTGTTTTCTTAAAAAAATTAGTTTGGAAGTCTACTTCTCTGTGACTTTTAGGCTTTAAGGACATTTTAAGAATAATTTGTACCTTTCCCCTTGTTCAATTTTTGAGAAAATGGCCTCGGATTTAGTGACAGGTACATGCTGCATTTCTCTTTTTGTACATTTCTGGTATTATTAAACATATCCTTTGACTTCTAGAAACGGGATTCACGTCCCTATAAGTCTCTTCCCTGCCAGTAGTTGAGAATGTCAGCTGGGATGCATTCTGTATTTATTTACAATCCTGTGGGACTGGACTATCCTGATGATAAGAAGTGTAAATCTCATTTTATCTTTAGGTGTTTTGTTTTCTGATCTTTTTATAGAATCTCTAAATCAGGTTATATCCTTTATTGCTCATAAATCTTTTTTTTTTTTTTGAGAGGGAATCTTGCTCTGTCACCCAGGCTGTAGTGCAGTGGTGTGATCTCAGCTTATTGCAAACACTGCCTCCCAGGTTCAAGTGATTCTCCTGCCTCAGCCTCCCAAGTAGCTTGGACTACAGGCATGCACCACCACACCTGACTAATTTTTTGTAGTTTAGTAGAGATGGGGTTTCATCTTGTTGGCTAGGCTGGTCTCGAACTCCTGACCTCAGGTGATCTGCCCACCTCTGCCTCCCAAAGTGCTGGGATTAAAGATGTGAGCCATCGTGCCCAGCCAAATGTAGTATTTTCTTTGCATTTTAGCATTGCTGCCATGTGGTATACTGGTAATCATCTAACACCGAGGGCCATCAGATGTCACCTCTCTCTAAACCGAATAAGTCATACATAATTTTGAAAATGGATTTTTCCCTGTCTCTAATAAAGCTGCCTTAATTCAGTGAATAAATTCTCATTTGGAGGCAAATTCTGAGGGAATGGAGACTAGAATAGGTCAGAGACATGTAGCTCATTTTAAGTTGCTATAAATGTCCATCTGGATGTAACATTCACTGCAGAAATAATCTTTAGATGTGTGTATTTTATAGTTGTTAGGGAATACAGCGTATAGTCTATAGCATTGTGTACATTTCATTACCTGTCATCTTTTAACTTAAAAGAATAAATTTGTTTCCCAGTGCCGGCCCCTTGAAAAACATCTCATATTCTTTCTTACTGTGGATGACTGAGATGGTGTGAATATGTATTGCTTTGTTTAAATGTGTCAACCATTATACGGTACCTTTAACCCAAGACTAAAAGTTTTTTTTAAATGGGTTCTGCAAGTGGAATATACAAATTGATTTTCATTTTATTATTTATTTTTGAGAGAGTCTCGTTCTGTTCCCCAGGCTGGAGTGCAGTGGTGGGATCTCGGCTCACTGCAACCTCTGCCTCCTGGGTTCAAGCGATTCTAGTGCCTCAGCCTCCCCAGTAGCTGTGATTACAGGCGTGTGCCATCACACCTGGCAAATAGTAGAGAGGGGTGATGGGGTTTCACCATGTCGGCCAGGCTGGTCTTGAACTCGTGGCCTCAAGTGATCTGCCTGCCTTGGCCTCCAGAAGTGCTGGGATTACAGGCATGAGTCACAACATCCAGCCCAACAATTGGTTTATAATAAAGGAAAATGCAGCACAATGTTTAACTGCATTAACTTATTGGATAAAAAGACAAATACACTTGTAGGAGAGCTTCTGTGGTTTATTACTGTTCGAAGGCACAAATGCCTGTTGCTTTGGCTTCCATATTAGTCAGTATAAAAATCACTTGACGCCTGTAATCCCAGCACTTTGGGAGGCTGAGATGGGCGGATCACGAGGTCATGAGATCGAGACCATCCTGGCTGACATGGTGAAACCTCGTCTCTACTAAAAATACAAAAAAAATTCGCTGGGCGTGGTGGCGGGCGCCTGTAGTCCCAGCTACTGGGGAGGCTGAGGCAGGAGAATGGCAGGAACCTGGGAGGCGGAGCTTGCAGTGAGCCGAGATGGCGCCATTGCACTCCAGCCGGGGCGACAGAGCAAGACTCCGTCTCAAAAAAAAAAAAAAAAAAAAAACTTGATGTGCTTTGTGCAAAATTTCCAGGACCTTATGTCCATCTTATATGGGTGTCATGAAGTGAATGGTTAAAAGGTCTTTGTAGAAGGAAGGTGGTTTACATCTGTATGCCCTAGTTGAGACTGTTTTAGGTTTCATAGCAGAGTAACAAACAGGAGAAAATAGCTTCTAATTTTAGTCATGATGTATTCTATCAGTTCAACTTCTTACCATTTTGAGTTTATCCAGTTTTCTCAAGTAATAAAATATATTGCCTAAAGGTTTATTTATTTGGTTTTCTCTTGAGAGAAATTTAAGTAAGGCATGCATAGTTAATTCTACACTTACACTATGGTTGTGTGAATGAAAAAAGACCTGTATCAAAACTATTTGATAGGTTACGGGCACAAATAGAGAGTGAGATTAGTTTTTAGTACAAGTTGAGTACTTTATGCTGCTGATACGGCACAATGGACTATTTGACTCGAGATTTTACTGGAAATGAGTATTACAGCCTTGACCTTTTCCCATCTCTATGATAGACAAGATTTTCATTTTTTAACTTCACATTTTTCTCCTGAAGTAGCAGCACTTGACATGAGATTTATGAAAAATGTGTACCTTCAGCATTGTGTAAATATTTATTTTACAGAGCCATAAGTGTGATCCTTGGTGACAGGTGGAAGAAAATGAAGAATGAAGAGAGAAGAATGTACACATTAGAAGCAAAGGCTTTGGCTGAAGAACAGAAACGTTTAAATCCTGACTGTTGGAAGAGGAAAAGAACCAATTCAGTATGTTTCAATAAATAGTGTTTAAAATTATCTTGCCTCGTCCCTGCAGGTGTACTGGCATGTTGGAGCAGTTGTTACAACCTTTAAGAGGTTGTGTTGATGTTATCTCTAGCATTTTTATACTTCAAAACCTAATAATGTTTTCGCATCATCATATAAAGACTGCCTTTCCTCAAGTGTCATTTACTGTCTTAGCATGGAAAGTCGAAATCTCAGGCAAACTTTAAAAAGAATGTTTGTTCTAAACATTGGTTGGAAAAATAATTTTGGAATACAGTATTTCTAGTTGAGTTGAAAGATAAGCATTATTAATCCATTAATATCACAGTAGAAAATTTCTCTAATTTTTGGTATGTCGCAACAGCTTTTCCTTAATTGGTGAGGGACCAATGAGGCTGGAGGCGTTGGGGGAATGTTAGCTACCATTCATGGGGACTTGTGCCATTGGCACAGAATTTCTAGATTGAAAAATTTCGAGGGGGAGAAGAAATAGAAAGGCCCAGGAAGGGTGGCCAATAAGTCTGTATGATAAGCTATCTTGGATAGACTTGTTTCTTACAACTTTTCCATTACTAAACTAGCATCTTTTAGGTTCAGTGTTTTTATATTAATTGCAAGAAAATTGCGTGTGATACAGTGGGGTCAATTTGAAATATCATTAAAAAATGAAGTGAAGATATCAGTAGTTTATAGTAGGAGAGCTGGCCAAAGATACTTTAAATTCACTCTGTGTACTTGTGCCTGTTTCTTAGTAACATGCAGGTCACATCTGTTTAAATTTTTCAAGAATTTCTTTAAAAATAGTGGTCAGTAGTCAGACGAGAGAGGTGACTGAACTGAGTTTTGGAAGTTCTTGGTTAATTTAGGATTTCTTGTGTTAGGACTTCGCCTGTATCCTTTTCTGTTCATCCTAGTCAATGTCTTATGATTGCATACATTTTCTGGATGCTTGAGCCATCAGATATCAGCTAGCTTTTTAAAATCACCTTTAAGAAGCAGTATTTTCTAATAGTAAATTTATAAACATCTTATACATCTTAGCTTTCATATATAGGGTTACTATGTATTGATTTGTAAACATTCACTGAGTTTTTTATTTCCACAGGGCTCACAACAACATTAAACCAGGATGCTTATGTTCTTAAGTCTATATTTGCATATACATTGACTCTTGATGGAAAGACTTAAGAAGATCAAGGTCTCACCATTTGTCCTCAATTCGTGTGACCATAAGATACTGATAGCATTGAGTCTTGAAATGATTTAATAATATGAGTGAGGATTTGCTTTCTCCATTAGAGCATTAAGCTAAAACTATCAACATTTTAAACCAAATTGCCTTATTTTTCTTCCAAACTTCATATATGTCTATCAGGTAATATAGGCTTGAAAATTGATATCCTGTGGTGCTAAAGTACAGTAGAAAGAGAGGAAAAGTGTATACATGTTTTATTTTAAATTGTACGAAAGGGGAATTTAAAAAATATGTAACTGCTGTTTATACATTGGCTCCTTACTGCTTATTAATCTGTATTGTACACATGATGGAATGAAGCAGAAGCTGGGAGTCGGCCTTTCTTTGAGTAACCACCACATGGCTCAGCATCTGTGCCAAACATAGGCGCTCCTAGTCTGGTCACTGCCAAGAGGCTACCAGAACATGTGGCAGGTGGCTGGTGTTGGTGTCCCAGCTTCTAAGAGCCACCTGCTGCAGTTACCATGGCATGCTGAGTTGATGCACCAGGTGGCAGCAGCCATCCATTATTTCCAATGGAGACCTAGCCCAGGCCAAGGTAAAGTTAGTTAATAGCATTGGGATATAGTCACTGTAATGGTGCTATTAACAGTCAACACCATTGTATTTTTTAACTTCGTGTTCTATATCTCCTCAGCCATGTATCTTAAATATATTTTGTCATCATAATCTTTATGGTGGGGGCAGACTTTGCACTTATTGCAGTGCAACACTTGCACTTTAATTTCCTCCAACTGTCTAAAATTAGAGCAAATACATTGGCAATACAGCTGCTTTTGCTCTGAGCTACAATCATGGCTTTTCATGTTACTTACCAAGTGGTGTTTCTGGTTAGGAATCACAGCTGTAAAATTGATTTCAGTTCATTACACTTCTTCATGATGTTGCCCCTAAATTTTGCACACTATATTCTTGTATATTATTTCAAATAAATGGAAAAAAAAGTTGCTTATCTCTGACATTTACTGATTAATCTTGGCTGAATTTTATTTATGAGTTCTCAGAATAACAGGTTCAGGAGATGGAAAACATAAGGCAGATTCCTAACACTGCTAATTAGGAGGCTGCTGATGGGATTTTAAAAATTAAAAACAAAAATGTTAATAGCGGAACAAGAGCCATCAGAAAATAAGGACTTAGATGATTATCTACCAGTTATAGAGAATCTCTATAGAATAAAAATTTGTATTTTTCACATGGTATCTTTGTTACAAGGTTAAACAGCCCAAAGGTCTGCTTTTAATGATGGTATGACAAAGTGTAACAAAAGCCTTGCTTTATTTAAAGATAAGAGTATGACATACTTAAACAAGGCCATTTAACCCTGTATCTTAGCTTTGGGATGTGCCAGTGGTTCCTCAACTTTGTTGTCTATTGGAATCATTTTGGGGATTTTTTTTGTTTTGTTTTTTTAAATACTGGTGTCAGGCTCCCACTCCCAGACATGTTAATTAGAGTGCAAGTTGGGCATCAGGATTTTTAAAAACTCCTCTGGTGATACGAATGTGCAGCCAAATTTGGAAACCACTGAGCCTACATGCTTATTTAGTGAAGAAGGCAGGGTTGGGGGAAGCAGGGTACGTATTATATAACGTGTTCATATCCTTTTAAAAGAAGTGGGGACTTTGGGTTTATGTACCCATAGGAGGACTCGGTTATGGATGGAAAAGAAATTTTAGCCTTGTACAAAAATCTGAAAGAGGAAAACATCTTTCTGAAAAAATCAGGTCCATGGAATTAAAAGGTGATGACTCGACATTTTTATGCTAAAGTATAAAGTGCTAAAGAGGTAAATAAAGGTTGACAGGAAATACAGAACAATCAATTACATTCTTAAAATAGTGGATAGTAGCTGTCTTTTGGAGTATGTGTTAACTGCCAACTATGAATGGGTTAGCACAAAGTGGAGATCAACAAAGCTTTCATATTGTTACTGAAGAGCAGACATAGCCTTCTGAAGCAGCTGAACCATTATGGGATAAACTGGTGCAAATTCTTTGCCTTCTCTACTTCTCACTGATTGAACGTAAGCTTCCAGGGCTCCCCTGAAAACCAAAATGAAAACAATGTCAAAATATGACATAAATCACATAAAACAGATTAGGGGATACCAATATATAAAAATTATTAATAAGCTCATTTCTGGAACTGTTAATGCTCAGTTTCTCAAGCCAAGTGACCAACAGCCTTCACTCATTTACTGGTACTGTTACTATGGTGACTATGTTTAGAGTGAAAAACTATAACCATGTTTTCAGTCTGCATTGTTCTTAGTGGTCTAGTCATGTACTCAGAGCCCTCTGGCTGTATAAGTATGTTCTCAATTTCCCTCTTCCCTGCTTCCCTACTGAAGACGCCTGCAACGGAATAGGCACTTGTGCCTACTCCCAGAGCTCACAAGGGGCATCCTGTGCCTCTGAAAGGCATGCTCAAGAGTACAGGGGGATGGGGCCCTTTGACACATTCGGTAACACCAGTAGATGCATTATATTCCTGTTATTTGATGAACTATGAACAACCAACAACTAGAATAAATGCTCTTGGACTGTAATTATTGGCAAAATATATGATTGGGAGGCAGTCTGAATTTAATCAAGGGAATGTGGTACCATTCCATTATTTATGATTATGGTGTTCTCATGGATTAGGTTGGGGGTTAGCAAACTGCCTGCAGGCTGAATCTAGCCTGATGCTTATTCATTTATGTATTGTCTGTGGCTGCTTTCACACAATGGCAGAGTTGAATAGTTGAGGCAGAGACCATGTGGCCTGCAAAGTCTGAAATATATCTGACCCTTCTTTTACAGAAAAAGTTCATTAGTCCCTGAACCAGATCATCTGTTTAAGTGGAGCTAAAAAGAATGGCTACAAGATTAATTTTTAATTATTCGTCTGTTTAAGTACCAGATACACAAACACATTTTTGTCATAATTATATTTTCTTCAAAATTTCAGTTTGAGATTGGAGCATTTATGTAAAGATATAAGTTAATACCATTACTCAGTTCACACACAATAGCACTTAATTCTTAAGTGGTTTTCTTTTTGCTCTCAAATACTGAAAATACTAATCTAATTGGGTTTGTTCAAGATTTTTCATTGAATTATGGGGAATACCCTTCCCCAGAGTCTGGCTATCACTCATCAGTTTGTAGTGCCCTTCCATCCCACCAGCCACTGTCCACGTAAAGGGATTTCAAATCTCTTAAGTTCCAGCCCTGACCTCCCCCTCCTGATCTTTGCTTCTTCCTGTCCTCTGGACAGTTTTATCTGACTTGCTTCCAGGTAGCCCTCAAACTCACTTGTCAAAAAACGGGCAGCATTCACCCTGCCTTACCTTATTTCAACAAAGGGCACCATCAACTTAAGGTCTCTAAGTTCTTTTCCCCTCCTACACCTCAACAGTTACCAAATCCTATTAATTTGCTACACCCATTTCCACATCTAGTCCCTCCTCTCCCCTTTCCTTCACTTTGAACCCTTGCTATCTTGTGCCCTAATGATTGCTGTAGCCTCTTAGGTGGTGATCATCCTGGTGCTATTTCTCCCTTGTTCTGGTCAGTCTTCCATGTTGTAGCAAGAGGTCTCTCCCTGAAGTATTATAGCACTTGCCATGCCCTATTCTTTATAGGAAATGTGGAAAGGTCTGACTTCTGTATCAACAGTCTTGACTTAGCAGGGTCCAGCATTTTGGAATCCCTGAAGGCTGGCTGCATGCTCTGGTCAGTTCCTAGACTCAACCCAACTGAATACCAGCTTCATCATCAAGCTGCTCCCAGCCCTTTCTATGCTACTGCTGGGTTTTAGATAGCTTGATGTGGCCTAAAATCCTCAAATCATTAATTTCCATTTTTGTGTTACCAAGTAATGTGCAAAGCATGTTTGCCCCATTTGTATAGCCCAACCTGACTGCCCACCTAGGGAAAGATCAAGGGTGTCTGTTCATATATTACACTGAAATAAAGCTGTCTCTGCCTAACAAAGTAGGGTGTGCCAAAGGGCCTGTTTATCTTTGGCCATACTGAATGTTTCAGTTACAGAGCCACATTCTCTTAGCCCTTTGCACATTATCTTCCTGTCCTTAGAATACCCTTCCTTGCTTGCTTTCTTGCGCAGCTCTTTATCTCTTAGGGCTCAGCTTCAAATGCTCCCTTTTAAGAAAAGCCTTTTTTAACTCCAGGCAGCAGTAAAGAATGCAAACCACCTTGGAGTCACAAGGTTTGTGAAACTATCTAACTTCTGTATCAACAGCCTTGACTTAGTAGGATCCGGCATTTTGGAATCCCTGAAGGCTGGCTCCATGCTCTGGTCGGGGCAGGAGTACTTTAAATCAGGTATGTGGAGGGCTGGGCAAGCCCTTACTGAAGAAGTGTAGCTGTTTTAAATAAAAGATGTAAGTTCATACCATTACTCAGCTCACATACCCAGTTTTCAAGTCCTAGCTAACATACCACTCTCAACTGGCATGCAAGATGGAATTTAGTGCTCTTAGAGAACAATGTTTTGTGAGATGCCTTAGTTCAACTCAGAGCTGACCCTTAATGGAGATACTTGTCTATGAAAAAAACTTGCTTCTTTTAGTAATATGCTTATAGTTGGTATGCCATCCTGGAAATTGTCTCCACTCCCTAAATGTAGTCCCTACAGAATCATATACAGTAAAGAAATCCGCAAGAGCTCATCCGTCCTTTTTTGTTTTTTTTTTTTTTGAGACGGAGTCTCGCTCTGTCACCCAGGCTGGAGTGCAGTGGCCAGATCTCAGCTCACTGCAAGCTCCGCCTCCCGGGTTCACGCCATTCTCCTGCCTCAGCCTCCCTAGTAGCTGGGACTACAGGCACCCGCCACCTCGCCCGGCTAGTTTTTTGTATTTTTCAGTAGAGACGGGGTTTCACCGGGTTAGCCAGGATGGTCTCGATCTGACCTCGTGATCCGCCCGTCTCGGCCTCCCAAAGTGCTGGGATTACAGGCGAGCTCGTCCGTCTTTAAGACAGTGAGATGTATGTATCAGTGTCTAAGAAGTGTTTATATTCACAGGAACTATAATCATTTCACAGTGAATGGGTTAGATATATTTGATGTACAAAAATCAACGTAGTTTCATTGGCATTTAAAAGGATAAGACATCACATAAATTACACAATATGTAGAAGAAAGATCAGAAATGAGTGGTTAGATTTTTGGGTAGTCATCAAGAACACCATCAGAAGTATGGGGGAAAAAAGATGAAGCTGCCCTCCCACATGAAATTAGAGCAAGATTTTCGAGTACTTATTAAATTACTTCATTTGCTTAAGCAAAACATTAGCTTTCTTGGAAGTCAGGCCAAGCATTATGTAACAGTCTTAACTCTGGTTTGTAACCAAAATAAGTAGATTATTGAGGCTATCCTTATTGGGAAAAAACGAAACACGATTAGTAGAGGAATGGTTTGTGGTAACATGGCAACACTGCTCAATGTGACAAAAACTAGCCAAGTGGAGGTTTTCATGGAGAACAACACTGATTTTTGTCAGGCATTTAAATATTCAGTGTGATTAGTAAGTACTGAAATGCGTAAGTGACGTAAAGATACACTACATGCCTCAATAAGCAGTTAAGCTCAGGATTTTCCCTGGTTCTGTCCTCCCTCTTGGTCCTATCTCAGACACTCTGTTCACAGAACTGATAGGTAGCTAGTGACATAGGGGTACCCGGAGGAGAAACATTACCCTCCATCAATGGAGATCTTGGGAGTTCTGCAGAAATACAGAAGAGCTGAGGGAATGGCTTCCAGACTGTGGACCCTGGACCACGGTGAGAAGGCAAGGGATCCAAGGATGCACATGGCACCAAGCATTCTCTGATGGTGTAGATAAAAGTACCACTAGGCTAATAAGGTCTGTGAACATTTTTGCCATCATAAAAGTGTACTTCTACTCAAAGAGGGCCATAAGAAGAAGAGTTGTTCTCCATGGCAAATATCCAGAGTAAATGGATTTGAGGCCAACCCCACCACTGTTACAGAGCTTAAGAAATCTTTGCATCAGAAACTCTATCTTTATTGAAAACACATTCAACAGTTACAGACCCACAGGCATAAGTCAGGTGGCTGCCTCTGCATCTGAGGGAGCACATGTGTCTGGGGCACCTGCCTGATGCGGGCTGAACACATACAACTGCCCCCACTTACACCACTTGGTCCCATGAGTAAGTCATTACTCTGATTTTCAAATGAACTTGACTAGTATTCATTTAAGCTCCAGAAAGCATCTGGTGTCCGAAGAAAACAGGAAGGCAGGATAGTTGACTATTTGCCATTTGCTCAGCAGCAGTAGTTACACTATCCTCAATTTGCCCTATTTTATGACAACCTAACACATTACGCTGGGAGGAACAGAATGAATATACAACAAGGTTTGCCCCAGAAGCTAAAACAAATTTACTGACATTTAAAGAGCAATACTCACCCTCAGTTTGTCTACAAGGGAAAGAAATTCATCCAGTGGTGCTTCAGTATGCAAGAACAAAATTGTTTTGCAATAATACATAAGAAAGAACATTCTCTAGGACAAAAGTCCCCTCATTGCCAAGAGCTTGGGGTGCAGCAAGAGTATTTTTTTGAATCCCTGAAGGAGAGCTCAATTTTTTGCTAAGGGCATGAAGGTACTGGAATCAGCCATGTGTGGAGGGATGGGTATGCCTTTTTAAAAAAGCATGACAGTATTTCTGAGCATGATTTTCAGTTGCTAAATATAGGCTTAGCAACAGCACTGCTGATGAAATCACTCAGGAGACATTTTTAAAGAGAAGCAAAAGAAAACAGATTTGTGATGCACCCACAGCAGGACAACTGTTTTGGATGAACTCATTCCAACTTGTTAAGATGACAAAAATGACCAACTTGTTAAGATGAGAAAAATGAACCATGTTCAATTAACTGAATCCTCTTTTTAAGATTACCAAGTGTGCTGCAGCTAAGTGAATCTTTGGGACTCAGGAAAAATAATCCACACAGACATTGCAAATCCGTGTTAGCCCCAGGCCCAAACTCCTCACCCAAATCCAAAGCCTTTCCTGAGGGCAGATTTTACCAGGAGCATTCACGGGGGGCTGGTAACCTCTCCCATTTCTGTGTCAGATGTTCATAGCTGAATAACAGATAAGCAAGGAAAAAGAGCAGAGTCCGAGCTAGTCTTTATCCACATATATGCCCAGAGGGCTAGTGGCTTATGTAGGATGTGGGCACCAAGCTTGAGGGCTCAGGGTCACTTCTGGAAACAAAGCTGACAGGCTGATTTTCCAACTGACCTGTCGCAGCTTCCTCAGCAGTCTTTCATCCTAACTGAAATATGACCTACGCCACTGGCTGCACCCTGGACCTTCTTGAGGAGCTATAAAGAAATCCTGATACCAGGCCTACCCCAGAGATTCTGAGGTAGGCGTGGGTGAGAGGCCTGGGCACTGGGAATTTTGCAAGCTGAGGAAATTACTCTTGTGCACACACGCGGCTTAGAACCGCCTCCTCATGTCAGCCCCGCTCTGGCTTTAGGGAACCCAACTCATCACCCAGCACTGAGGCCAACAGAGGGCCACTGGGTGTCCTGGCCCCAGACCGACACCCAGGATCCCCTGGGAGAGTTGAGAATGACTTCAAGAGCATTTAGAGGCACAACAGGAGTGAGTTTGAGGAATAAGGATGACAGAGGAGTTGAATGATGGCGTAAAGGTTTTCCAGCTTGGCTAGTCAGGTGATTGTGACCTCCCAACCAAGACAGGGAGTATAAGAGAACAAGAAGGTTTGAGAGAATAGAATTATTTTGACCATTTTGGGGTTGAGATTTCTGTGGGTGGTTACAGATGAGAGCAAGTTTACTGGGCCAAGGGTGCATCAATAGGCAGCCACAGACCTGGAGGCTCTTAAGTATAGAAGGGGCACTAGAGGCACGGGTCTAGATAAGCTCACCTGGGAACCAAGGCAGAGGGAGGATGAGAAGAACAAAATATGGGAAATGATAGCATTTAAGGAATGGCTGGAAGAAGATAATTCAGCATATGATGCAGAAAAAAAAAATGGCTAGAGAAGTTCGAACAGAAACAGATGGCTGTGGTGTAACGCAAGCTCTGAGAGGACAGGGCCATATCTCGGCTTACTTCGTATCCTCAGTTCCTGGCCCAGGGCCTACCATGCTGATAAAATGTGAGCTCAGCATCAGTAAAAATGTGTTGAGTCCCAGCTTATGAGTTTACAGAAGGACATGGTGGTCAACTCTAGCTAAAGCTACAGAGTGGTAAGAATGGGAATGTTTGGTGGCAGAGAGATCTCTGGTGACGGTGAGAGCAATTGCAGGGAAGAGTATTGCTTAATAAGCCATGTATGACAGTTAAAGCACCCCACCCTGGGCATGGTTGGGGTACATGGGGGTGTGTGCACATCTGTTTGAGGGCACATGCATATGTATGTAAATGCACTCATGGGGCACTACTAGAGGGCCATGGTATCCAAGTGGCTGCTGGGTTGTTCTTGTTTCCTCCTCAGAACTCTTTCACACTTGGGTATTTTTAAAAGTTCACTCACATCTGTGTTCCACCAATTCAGTAACTGCAGCACATGAAAATGAAGTAAAAGATGTGGAGCTAGGGCAAAACTTTTCCTAGCAGATGATGATTTTCAAAGGTAGAAATGCATGGTCCTTAGGGTTGCATGGGACACAGGATTGCACATCAGGGATATGAAGGTATGGAATGAAAGAAAGCAAAAGATGTTGTGGCCAACATTTCCAACTGCTGGCTACTCCAGCACCTGTGCCTAGGCAGTGAAGTGGCCTGCCACTGGAAGGTGCAGTCACATGTGCACAACCCCAGGCACTGCTCCTTCATCCTCTCCTGCATCCCCACCCTCCTTGGGCTTCCAGCCCAGATGGGTGCCCCTGGAGCACCTGGCTTTACCTGATGAGGAGGAGCCTGTCCTTTTCAGATGGATGGTCATCCAGCCATTGAGAGAAGCGTGCGTGGGACCACTCTGCCCTCTGCAGGGTTGAAACACAATTAGAGAGTGCATACACATTCTTTAGTAAATGGCAGCAAGTGCTGGTTCAGAAAGCATTCTTAAGGATTCCCAAGGTGAAACTGCCTCGAAACCTGCCCAAGGGAAGTGGGAAGGGGCACAGGCCTTGGTGCACCTTTCTGACTGCCAAGGAGCCTTCTAGATTTGCCAGTTGATGGTGGGTCGGCAAAGAAAAGGGGCTGCCATCAAAAATTCTTTATGAACACAAATGCCTTGTGTCATTATTAAAGGTAAATTCTGGATGCATCAGGTAATTTTTTGCACTGCTGAGAAAGAAGATGCTGAGCAGTGGGAGTTTTCCTTTACTAATATCTGTTCACTGTCAAAGACAGACAACAACTAAACAAAGCAGCAGAGGGCCAGGAATCATTCAGTGAGTAGGGGCTCAGGATTCACACAGGTAATGGGAAGAGTCACAAAATGGTTCTAGCTTGACTTTATTACCTGGAAAGGAGATTTCAGCTCAGCGGGTGCTCTCGTGAACAAAAACTGAATAATGATGCTGAACGGAATCACATCCCCCAGTGCAGGACTATTGGCTACATGTTCACTTGCCTGGAAGAGCAGAGGTCTAGAGGAGAAAAACATGTTATTTCACACTGTTCAATATTGAAATAGGTGATCTGGTGGGACAATCATTCTCCCTGTAGAATAGTATTTTTCCTGGACTGGCTACTGAAGGAGCCCTCCACTGCTCAACCACCCTATTCAGCATTGAGACACACGCGCCTCTGCCTCCACACGCCCACATGCTCACAGGCTCATCTATCCTTCAGCTCCTATTCGACCCCCAGCTCATTGGTTTGTGAGTCTGACATCCACTGGACTCAGCAAATGCTCCTCATAAAGTTTATCTAATTACTAGGCTAAAAGCAAATAAAGAACAAAAGTAAAGCCTTCAAGTAGTTGTTATTAACATATTCTTATCTTCGTCAATTGTTTTAGCTTTCATTTAAAATAGAATCCTTCTTTGAACCATAATCAAATGTGGGTACACTCAAACATTTTCTATACAACTTTTCAAAAAGGCAAATATGTCTTTGTATATACAAAGTTATTACTTTGCTGAACATTCCATCAAAAATTTGTGCTGGCTCCCTTATACTATATACATGTCTGGGTTTCACTGTCCACATTTTAGAGAAGGAGCAGGCAGGCAAATCCATTCCGCTACCAATTACATACCACCTTGTGCAAAAGGCTGGCGGGAATTATTTGAACTGTTACTGGCTTTGAGCTCTTATGGATGAGAGCTGATTAGAAGCGGAGCTGTGGACATTGAATCCCAAGTGGTAAGATGGCAGCAACATCTCTTGACAGATCAGATAATGATTTTGAACCATGTAAAAGAGCACTGTATTCTGGGGTCTTTCTTCACCCCAACTAAATTACTCTAATTATGAATGAAGGCCTGTACAAAATAGAGAAGCGAACTTCTTCCCTACACTAATGATAAGGTCTTATGTCAAGAGTCAGGAATGTTCTCAATAGAGAGCTGGTTCTCATTAGATACAGAATTATTATTAGTAAAGATGGCTTTAAATTAACTATTCTACAAGTAAAAATCTATCTCTATCAAATAACATTATGTTGTATTTTCTTTAGCTACTGGGGAAGGATTTCAGTCATGTATGTTGTCTATCACCAGAAAGCCATAAAGCTCCAAACCAGACATTCCATGAAAAGATGACTAAGGTCTTCTTATGGCCACACTAAAAATGTGATGTACCTGCCTTGAAAATCTGCAAGGCCCAAATAATTTCACAGTGTTCAGTGCTGCAGAGAAAAACAAAATATGGGAAATGATAGCATTTAAGGAATGGCTAGAAGAAGATAATTCAGCAAATGATGCAGAAAAAAAAATGGCTGGAGAAGTTAGAACAGAAACAGATGGCTGTGGTGTAACGCAAGCTCTGGGAGGACAGGGCCGTATCTCGGCTTACTTCGTATCCTCAGTTCCTGGCCCAGGGCCTACCATGCTGATAAAATGTGAGCTCAGCATCAGTAAAAATGTGTTGAGTCCCAGCTTATGAGTTTACAGAAGGACATGGTGGTCAACTCTAGCTAAAGCTACAGAGTGGTAAGGTAAGAATAGGAATGTTTGGTGGTGGAGAGGTCTCTGGCGGTCAAGGTCACCTTGACCGTATCACTCCTCCCACTCCTCCAAGTCAGCACAAGAGTCACAGGGGGGATTCTCCTAAGCCCATGTTTTCTACAGAGGAAAAGAGAACTGAAAGTAGAGATCTAGCTTCCCTAGCATTCTGAGGTGCTTTGAAGGAAGCCCACTACTGTCTTGCTGCAAAAGGAATACCGGAGTAACTGTAGGGCAAGATCCCGTGGTGTCAAACAAATCAAGAAGGTGGAGTTTGCAGTGACTAGTGTGCAGATCTGGGTGGTAGCTCTGTGTTCCTGCCAGCAGTGGCACCTGATCAGAGAGATCAGTTAATGATCTACCCTATCCGCAAAGCTGAGTCGGCTGCTCCCAGAAGCTGAACAAGAAGTTCAACCTGGCTTGAGTCCCTAGAAAACTAGCCTCTATGCGCAGCCTCAGAGACCACCCCAAGGCCCTACCCAGGAAAAGAGATGCCCACCACAGTGTATTTTTTGCAGAGAACAGGGGCTAGACTTGCCCAAACCCTGAAGTCCAAACAGCAGCTCCAAACAGTTGCTCCACCCAGTGTCAGAGCCCATCCCATGGTCCAGCCTAGGCAAGGACTATGGAGCATAACCTCTGGACCTGTCTGTCTAGAACAGTGATCCATCTAAACCTAGAGCCCAGCCTGCAGACCTGCCCAACTGCATAACCCAAATAGCAATACTCCCCAACAGGGAAATATACTTTGTGACCCTGCCGGATACCAGAAGCAATCACAGTTCCCAGCCAGCAGCTCCACCTGATTGCAGAGGCCAGCCAGTAGTCTTGCTGGAAGGTGAAGTTCAGCCAGCAGCCCCATCCAAACTCAGAACAAAGGCAGAGACCCAGCCAACTAGAGAAACTGACAGCAAGCTCTGCCTCTCTGGGGTTGATATCAGTTGGCTCATCCAGAATCACAGGCTGAAGTAAATAATGAAATTCAATCTATGCTGAAGAACACCTCTAAAGGATGGAAGAGGTGGCTGCCTCCTCAAATGCACAGACATCAATTCAAGGACATGAGGATTATGAAGAATTAGGGGAATAATGATGCCACCAAAAGAAATTAATAAAGCTCTAATAATGGACCCTAAAGAAATGGACATCTATGGAACGACTGACAAAAAATACACAACAATCCTCTTAAGGAAGTTCAGCAAACTACAAGAATATATAAATAAAAAGTTAAATGAGATCTGGAACACAATATATGAACAAAATGAGAAATAGAAACTATAACAAAAACCAAATAGAAATCCTGGAGATGGAGACAACAACTGAACTGAAAAATTAAATAGCAAGTTTTAACTGTAGACTTGTACAAAAAATTCAACCCAAAGAGAAGTTCACCAAGACACATAATAAACTGGCAAAAATCAAAGACAAAAAAAATTAAGAAAGCAAGAAATAAGAAACTTATCACATACAAGGAACTTGCAATATGGCTACTAGAGGATTCTCAGCAAAAACCCTGTAGGGCAGGATAAAATTAGATGATATATTTAAAGTGCTCAACCAAAAAAGCTATCCTTCAGAAATGAGAAAAACGTTCCCAAGCAAACGCTAATAAGGTTCATTAGCAGTAGGCCTGCCTATTGAAATTCCTAAATGGAGTTCTCTAAGCTGATATAAAAGGCTGCTAATTAATAAAATATATGAAAACACAAAAATCAATGCTATAAATAATATAGTCATACTCAGAAAAACCTAGAACTGTAATAGTGGTCTATAATATAATTTTATCTCTAATATGATCTTAAAACTATTAAAATTATAGCTCAAGGCCAGATGCAGTAGCTCATGCCTGTAATCCCAATACTTTGGGAGGCTGAGGTGGGTGGATCACTTGGGGCCAGAAGTTCCAGACCAGCCTGGCCAACATGGCAAAACCCGGTCTTTACCAAAAATACAAAAATTAGCCAGGCATGGTGGTATACACCTGTGGTCCCAGCTACTCAGGAGGCTGAATCACGAGAATCGCTTGAACTGGGAGGTGGTGGTTGTAGTGAGCCAAGATGGCGCCACTGCACCCCAGCCTGGGTGACGGAACGAGACTCTGTCTCAAAAAAAAAAAAAAGAAAGAAAAAAAATTATAGACCAAATTAGGGATACAAATTGCAAAATGATGTATATTTTGAAAACAAAATATTAAAATGTGTAGGGAAGGGGAACAAAACTGTAGAGTTACTACTGTATGTTATCAAAATTCGGTGTTATCAGCTTGAAATACCCTGTTACTAGTATACGGTTTTTGGAAGCCTCATGGTAAGTACAAAACAACAATCTAGAGTAGAGGCACAAAACATACATAGAAAGAATTCAAAGCATACCACTACAGAAAACAATCAGACCACAAAGGAGGACAGCAAGAGAGGAACAAGGAAACAAAGCATCCACAAAACAATCAGAGAACAAACTACAAACTAGTATTATTGAGTCCTTACCTGTTGATAATTATTTCTATTTTAAGAGCAATAAAATCTCCAGTAAAAGACAAAATGGCTGAATGTATTAAAAAGAAGACCCAGCTCTGTGCTGCCTACAAGAGATTCAACTCCTTTTTTTTTTTTTTTTTTTTGAGATGGCGTCTTGCTCTGTCACCCAGGCTAGAGTGCAGTGGCGCGATCTCGGCTTGCTGCAAGCTCTGCCTCCTGGGTTCACGCCATTCTCCTGCCCCAGCCTCCCGAGTAGTTGGGACTACAGGCGCCTGCTACCATGTCCAGCTAATTTTTTGTATTTTTAGTAGAGATGGGGTTTCACCATGTTAGCCAGGATGGTCTCGATCTCCTGACCTCGTGATCCACCTGCCTTGGCCTCCCAAAGTGCGGGGATTACAGGCGTGAGCCACCGCACCTGGCCTGAGACTCAACTCACTTCTAAGGACACAAAGAATAAAAATGAAAGTATGAAGAAAGACATTCCATGCAAATGGAAACTGAGAGAGGCAGGGCTAGCTATACCTATTAGACAAAATAGACTTAAGCTCAAAACAATAAAAAAAGGCAAAGAAAGTCATCATGATACAGGTGTCAATTCATCAAGAGGATATAACAACTGTAAATATATCTGTACCCAACATCAGAACACCTAAATAAGTAAAGCAAATATTAAAGAATTTAAAGAGAGAAATAACTTACAATGCAGTAATAGTAGGGGGACTTCAATATCTCACTTTCGACAATGGCAGATCATCCAGATAGACAGTTAATAAGGAAACACTAAACTTGAACTACATTTTAGACCAAATGGACCCAACAGACATATACAGCTTATTTTATCCAATAGCAAGGGAATACACATCTTCTCAAGTGCACACATATCTTGCTTCAGGATATGTCATATGTTAGGTCGCAAACCCAAGGCTGAACAAATTTAGGAGAAATGAAATCATATCAAGTATCTTTTCTAATCATAATGGTATGAAACTAGACATCAAT